TATTACAATTCACTGGCTGACGGAGCCTGCTTGTAAAAGCAATTAACCCATGAAGCTGCATTTTTGTCAGTAACCTTGCATCGTGCAATTAAGAGTTCTTCAAGGTCGGTAATTAAGCAGAGTTCCATGGCGAGTTCCAATGGGGAAAAAATCAAACCACGAAGGTTTTGATACGAATAAAATCAATTTGTCATCGAGACTCTGAGGGATTAATGCGCGTGACGTGGAAAAGTAATGAATCGCCATGGCAATAAATGATTTAGTCCTTACCACGCGTCGATTGGTATCGGTATTCTGATAACAATTCATAGCCGTTAAATGCAGTGAGAGGACGCTAGTTACCAAAATGGCCGGCAGAGGTGCAGCATTTTTCTACCTGTCCATCGGCTTGTTGTCTATCTCCTTAGGTCTCGCAGGACGCTGCCTGTCTTCTTGGCAGAAGTCTGACCCGTCCTGTTACCGTCTGCTGGTTGATGAGACACGGTCCTGGTATCAGGCAGTTGCCAAGTGCAGAGATCTCGGAGGCGGCTTGGCGGTCCCCAGCACGCAGGCTGAGCAAGATGCTATCTGGGGGATGGTGGAGGAGGCATTGACATCATCCGATGCACCTACCGACTTCTGGATCGGTTGCAGTAGGCCGGAGCCTGCAGACGGGAAGTGGGGCTGCGTGGAGCATGATATGAAGGTAAGTGGATACACCAGCTGGCAGACAGGCGATCCAAATGGAGTCACATACCCGAATGGGTACTGTGCAAGGATGAAGGCTTCAAGCGGTGGTTGGGCTGACCAACCGTGTGGGAAACTTTTCCAAGCCATCTGCGAGACATCCCAGGTGGGGGATTCTTTACAGCTCCTCTGCTTGTAAGCTGATGCCGACGGCCGCTTCAAGACGTCCCCTTGCCTGACCGATCAATTCATCCAGGAGTTCCCCACTGAGGGTGTCATCGCGTGCGGTTCGGCGTGCCGGGATGAGCCTCGATGCCGCTCCTTCAATCTGCGACAGGTCAGCCACGGAGAGAAGATCTGCCAGTTGTACGAGACAACGCAAGACGGCAGCATGGTGGTTGATGACGATAGTGACGAAAACTGCTACTGCTTTGACTTACGCGAATAAGAAACCTGCAAAACAGGTAGTGGTCAATCAAACTGCATTTGTCAGTAGTAAAGAAATAAACATCAGTGTTTTAATCAACTAAGTGATTTTGCAGAAGTGTAGATTCGAACATGTTTACTAAATTTTGTTGAGTAAAATGTGTAGTGAATATTGAGAACTGCCATGGTGACGTCAAAGCCTCTTCAAGTGAAACGCTTTACAGATGTTAATTATTCCATTCTTGGATGTGTCAATATGTGTTGAAAATATAAGAAAAATGCCAGAGTGTTGACAAAAAAATGAAACACTACCGAGTCGAGTAAGAGTTCAACAGCCATGCAAAATTGTATCAGTCATTTTGGACGAAAATAGCAATCGAAGTTTTATACCTAACGGCACATTTATCGAATGCCCGGGGGAAAACCTGCTACATTGAACGCCCTTCACAACATGATGGAATAGGAAACGTAATAAAGACGTCAAGGACCATCTCATCGTCGGTATTTCTAAATCAAGGAAGATAACAATGATGTGCAAGTTCTAGATAGACTCGTAGACCTTGTCAGTAACTAAACCTAAAGCCACGTAGAATCATTAGCAATTACTCGGATACCAAATTCAATAACAGGGATCTTACTCAAGATAGCAGATAGCACTGGTATGAAATATCCTGTGAAATTATTCCGCCTGAAATGGTATCGTTTGGAAGAATGAACATTGAGGGCGGTTTCCAAGATAGTGTGCCCTTAGCAATGGAATCCATTGACCACAGCCCCATTTGCGCACGTTCCCCTTCTTTCCCCCTCAAATCTAGAATAAACACTGAGTTAAAACGTCAACGGGTTAGGTGTTGTCTACCTTACTTTACTTACCTTACTACAACAGTTTAGTTGATTCAAACGAAAACGAATGCCCTAAAAAATAGTCAGCCTTTTACAGTCGTCAGGAACGTGGAATGTGATACCAGTACCTTGCTCGCACGAGGGGAAATCATTAGAAAAGACAAAAGATACCTATACAAGTCGGCCCAAAGTGTTTGATTTTTAATTCAGCATAGCTACTTAATTGTTCATATCGTCACAATCAATTTCAATATGATCCGAGGCTATAGATATAGAGCCAGCTTAAAGAGGAATGAACATTAAAGCTAATACGGTCGAAATTCTCGATTTTTAATTTCACATGGTCTTCAGCTTCCACCTTGTCCGTCAATGTCATTAATGGTAAGGCGGCCACGGAAAGCACAAGTGGTTTCTAGTCGTTATATCTGCAGGGTTATCGCGTGAAAAGGCTAATGAATTACCATAGCAACAAATGACTTAGGCCTCTCTCCGGGCATTGATTGGTACCAGAATAACTAAATAGTTGCTCACAGTGAACGAATATCATCACAAGCTTTATAGCATTTGTTATCATTATGGCCTAGAGAAAATGTTTATGGCGCCTCGTCAATATGGCATCAATCTCTCTAATGAAAGTAGGATAATGGTGTAAAAAATGGAAATGTAATCACCATAGTAACGTGTGCCTTAGACCTTACCACGCGCATCGATTGATGCCAGCCTACCTACATCCATCGATATCGGTTGCTGCAGAGGAGGTATAGCATTACAAGGATTGCAGCATTGTAACCAAAATGGCCGGGAAGGAAGCATTGTTTTTTCTGCTGCTCTTCATTTTGGTATCTATCTCTTTTGGTCGTACGGGACGCTGCCTGTCCTCTTGGCAGAAAGTCGGCCTGTCCTGTTACCGTCTGCTGGTTGATGAGACACGGTCCTGGGAGGCAGTAGATGATAAGTGCAGAGATCTCGGAGGCGGCTTGGCGATGTCCAGCACGCAGGCTGAGCAAGATGCTATCTGGGGGATGGTGGAGGAGGCACTGTCAACATCCGATACACCTACCGACTTCTGGATCGGTTGCAGTAGGCCGGAGCCTGCAGACGGGAAGTGGAGCTGCGTGGAGCATGATGGGAAGGTTAGTGGGTACATCAACTGGGCGACGGGCGAGCCTAACGGAGGTTATTACGCGAGTGGATCCTGCGGAAGGATAACGATGACAAACGGAGAGTGGGCAGACCAACCGTGCGAGCATCTTTTCCATGCCATCTGCGAGACATCCCAGGTGGGGGATTCCTTACAGCTCCTCTGCTTGCAAGCTGATGCTGACGGCCGCTTCAAGAAGTCCCCTTGCATGACCGGTCAATTCATCCAGGAGTTCCCCACTGAGGGTGTCATCCCGTGCGGCTCGGCGTGCCGGGATGAGCGTCGATGCCGCTCATTCAATCTGCGACAGGTCAGCCACGGAGAGAAGATCTGCCAGTTGTACGAGACAACGCACGACGCCAGCATGGTGGTTGATTATGACGAAAACTGCTACCACTTTGACTTACGCGAATGAGGCGCTTCAAGCAAATTATCACTTAAGCTGTGTTGATATAAGAAAGAATCATAAATTTCAGTGTTTTACTTCGCTGATTGCATTCGTATAGAAGTAGATGCAAAATTGTCATTTGCTTAAGAATTGTGATGTCTATTAAAAAAACTGGACGTTGTAGCCAATTTTAACTGAAGCACCAAAATCTGTCGCGGGAGACAGAGAACTGACTAAGGAACCGAGACGTAATCATTGAAGACTCTACAGACAAGTCTAAGACATGCGACACGCTGAGTTAGCTTCCACTTCTCATCGTTGAGGGGGTACAATTACGCTGGTGGCAGCTGGTGTGCTAGTAGATGCTGCTCCCCGTATCGCAGACTGCTCTTAAACTCCAGTGTAGTAGTGAATGATGCAACGAGAATTGTTCGCCTACGGGGAGTTTAAACTACACGAAATATATTCGACATTTAAAAAGAAAATATATCCACCGTATCAAAACCCCGTGACCGGGACTCGATGGATGCATAGCACACCACATGGTACCATACACTGAATGCAAAGACCTTTTTTTTTGGTGTTGTTCATAAAAATGATTTAAGTTTTTCTTACTTTGAACGATTATAACAGAATACCTCTTCTTTCCTTATGACTATCAGAGAATATTGAATTAAAACCAAGACATTAAAGAATATTCAAATGGGCTTACGAACAAACATAAACACAAGCTCTTAAACTGGCTTTTTCAATTTTTTTGTAAGATATTTCGTAAGATATTTTACCGTTGATGAGTATTATTTTCTTTTAGTGTGCAGGGCCTATCGATATTACCTGTACTGATCAGACGATAGAACGAGTGAATGATAGTTTCCATGTTATCATTTGTCACAACGTTCTCCTGTGAATTACTTGCAAGTTTCTCCGCAAATGTATTATCCATGCAGCGTTCTGGCACATACCTGAGTTGCCTGGTAACCGTTCAAGGCAATTTGTTAGACGACCTTGCTGAAAGTGAAGACAGGACTCTGGTATCAGGCAATCTGTGAAATTATTCCCAATGAGTTTCTTAATGGAAACACACTACTCTATATATAGGCCTAAGAGCACTAAACAGGGACCAGTGCGTAAATGACGTCATTGCAAAGAACTCTAACAATAGCACAACGTTTACTCTGCGAGCAAAAACGAGGACCAATCAGAAGCTTACGCATGGGAGCTGATTACAGGCCTGGGGGACCAGTCTAGTTGCCTTTATGCCCGAAGAAACAAAGATGATAATACCAAGGGACGCACTATATGTAGCTTAGCAGCAAACATCTGCCATCTGTAATAAAGTGGTTTGGCCAGGGATACGATATACATTATTGCAAAGTCAGTTTTTGTTAGTTCATGCAAAAGCTGGAGAGCAGTACAATAAGTGCTGCAATAGTAAGTTGTTTTTCCCACATGCAGCTTTCTTCCGACATTAATGTGAGTAAACTGTGGATGATTTCTTCAGCTTAAACGCTATTTGGTTTGTACGGACGCAAAACAATGGACACAGGTGTACTATATTTCATCGTTCTTGTGGGTGGAGTAACGGGCCTCTGTCCTCAGTGGGAGTGGGCAAGCGGGTCTTACTATTGCCTCGTCGATGACACCATGACGTGGGACGAAGCTCAAGCGACTTGCTCTGGTATGAGTGGCAGCATGGCCGTACCTGATTCCAATGAAGAGCATCAGTTCATTTGGCAAATGTTCAAGGAGAACTCTCGCGTAGGAAGTCTTTGGATCGGTTGCAGGCACGATTCGATGGAAGGCAGGTATGTGCAGCCAGGCAATGGAGGTAAGGAGTGCGTATACACCAAGTGGGCGCCGGGGGAACCGATCGGTAATGCAGGGCAAGATTGCGTGCAGCTGTGGGATGTAGCGGGCGGTCGTTGGGATGACACAAAATGTACTCGGGATCGCTCTGTGATCTGTGAGCGTCCTGCCCGTGCGTTTCCCGCCAATCTGTCCTGCATGCAGGCTGATGCTAGAGGCCGCTTCACCGCACCGTAACTATATATTCATTCTTTATCTATCTGGGATAGCAGCCAATAACATACACAAGAGAGACCTTGTCGCGTTGATATCGTGAATGTGGCCGAGCTATTAACATACGAACCTATTCAAGTGTACGAGGCCTGCTAGTCTGACCTCGTTTTCAACTCAACCGCGCGAAAGGCTCAAGACACGCCATCGTGGAAACTTCAACTCGTGGTTGCAATCTAGTGGTATAAACTGCGTCCGTCGGATGCAGTAACGCATGCTCATCTCATGGGCGTATCAAGGGATCGGTTGGCAGGTTACCTTTCTCACGACTGACTAATGTCACTCGTTTTTCATAAATGAAAAACAATTCCCAATTTTGTTTTTTTTCCCTAAAAATACACGGTTATCACTCAGTATTGGACAAATTTTGGTCCATTTCTTTATCCCGTTGGTCTTTCGCATACGTTTATTGCAACGTGTCATCGATCCCCTTGAAAACTAATACTATAATCATTATCGACAGTGGGTCACTTGGGAGACGTTCCCATATTCTTGTGCACAATTTTTTCGCTCCAAAATTAATGACCCCAACCCCAACGAACATTGGTATTTTTACTAATTGGGCCACAAGCAATCGATCTAGCCTATTCGCGACATTACGATGTTGCCCCTAAGAGGGGCTGAGGCATTAGGGAGACATAGAAATGTGTCCCTAATTCCACATGTAATGTCTCCCAAAGGTATAATTTGTGACGTTAAAGTGTCTCACAAAAAGTCCTATCTGTGGTTGTGATAATAATAAACCGACAGTAATATTAATAGCAATCTTTAAAAGGATGATACAGTCGTCATTCAGTCTTATTTGTGTATAGTTTATTTCAGCAAATTGTTGCTTACAGATTAACTAAACACAGTTTTGTAATTTGATGTTTGTATATTTTTGACTTGCACACCTTCTGTCAAAGGTTTGTTATTGCCATCATCACAGCGATTGATCGAGGTTTGTTTTGATAATGTTAAAGGGTCCATGAGAGTTATTTCTTGGGAAAATATTCAGGCGCGGATCCAAGGGGAGGGTTTTGGGGTAAAAAAAACCCCAGCTCTGTCAAAAACCCAAAAAAATATCATACAAATTCCTACAAAATAATGCGACCCCCCCCCCCCCCGTGACACCCAAACAAAATTATACAGGTATAATGTCCGCCTGTTCAAAATACGGTACACCATTCTGTAATCTAGTGTTAATAATCGTCGAATTTGAACAGCGCCCCCTATTCAAATATGGTACCAGCCCCTGTCCGGAGAAAAAAACCTGTGTACATGTTCAGATTTTTTTGCTGATGAACCCCCCTCCCCCCCCCCCCCGCAAAAATTCCTGGATACGCCCCTGATATTTTGTGCATTTTTCTACTTCTCTTAAATGTATAAAAACTATTTGACATCACTTTTTGGTTAATTTTATTGAAAAATGCATTTTTATTTACATTTGAAATTGTCCATAGTGTTTTTCGGACAACTGAGGGCGATGTTGCTTTGATGTCATTTCAGGAAGACAGGTCAGTCCAGGTGTGTTCTGTTCACAGACATTTACTCATTGAAAACATTTGTGAGAAAACTGTGCTCTTTGGCTTATTGCCATGTGCTGACACAACAACAGCTCGCTAACGAAAAGAATATTTACGACGGCAAAACATCCAAAAAAATCCAACTTTTATGCTGAACTGAATAGCTGTAACTGTGAGGATTCTGGCATTTTGTAGTGCCTGAAAATGACATCACAGTTTCCAATATGGAAATTCGCATTGGCATACAAACGAAATAGCACCAAAATAAGTTGAAAACGGCAAAACGATAATTGTAAATAATATCAAATTGGACACAAAGATACATTTTTTAATTATATTACATGGACCCTTTATCAACTTGTATTTAATTTGTGAAATCAATGAGGTCATTTCATTTTTCCATTTTAGTCTTTACACGCCATCAAAGAACGTTTATGTCAGTCGTAATACGAACATATACTTCACTCGATTTTTGGATAGAAACTACTTTAATTTATAGGACTATAGATCATTGTTACATTTGTTTATAAATTGGATGTTATCACGTGATGACAACATTCAGCAAACTGCTCTCGCCTGCACTGCACCTGGTTCTCTTTAAATATGATTGGTGTAAAAGTTGTGACATAAATAGTGAACAAAATAACGTGAAAACGATGAATAATGTTAGTGGTGCCCGTAGCCGGGTGCTCGTTCGTGTGACGTCAAGGTAATTCAAATGTGATTATCTCCCGTAGTTAGGTCTAAACTTCTGTCACACCGTTGTACAATAATAATGAAATTATCCTGCATGAATATCTATTGAGACTACAGACTTTTATTGTTGTAACATCCTAGAGCAAATTTGAACCTAGGCTAGTATACATACATGTACAGTGGATTCGCCGCTATAACGAACATCGTGGGATCCAAAGAAAGTGTTCGTAATAACGATCGTTCGGTATAGCGATTTTGAACCGCCGGTACCCTCTTTTGACCAATAGCGAAGTCACTGAACTGGCATTTCTCACATCCCGCCGCACGAGGAGTTGTCACAAACGTTTAGCAATGGGTGTTTTTCTCTTGTATTCCCTGGGGAAATAATAGCCATCTATCGCTCTTCAACATTCAAACACGATGTTACCATGGATGGTTTGATGTTCGGGAATTAAAAGTGTCCCAACAGTGTTTAAAACGCGTACAACCTGTAGGTTTTTTGTTAATCTGTTGCATTTTTGTAACAACGATGTTCGGTACGTTTTGTACATTAATTAGAACCGGGAGCCAAGGAAGATGTTCGGTATAGCCGAATGTTCGGTATAGCGGTGTTCGGTATAGCGGTGTTCCACTGTATTTATTTACACATTGGACTTAAGCGTTACGTGCTCCACTAGACATTACTGAGTGTACTTTCAGTAAAAACAAATGCAAGCTCAATAATTTTACGATATGCACATGCTGGGATTTTACGCTAATTGTCCGGCGTATTGAATAATTTCTACATTTTTACAATCTGATAAGCAGAAAAGCAAAACTTATTCTGTAAACTTTTGTAACTAGACATTTATTTTAATGGATTTGGTTGTGATCTTCATACGAACATCTGTGTATATACAATTTCATCACTTGCATCTGAGCAATATATGTGAATTCCTCCTTTGTCTCCACAAGGGCAACATTTCTGCTACTGATAATATTTTTTAGGGAATCAAGAAATGACTTGAAGATAGAAAAACGCTACGTGCAAATTCAGAATGTTCCCTGTTCAACAACAGTCCCCGTTCCTTCTGTTTTCATCAGGTTATCCCCCCCCCCCCAAAAAAGACGTTCCCCTGATGAAGTGCGAAAAGGCCAAATTGCCTGATGTGTTTTTTGTTTTTCTTCAAAATACCGTCTGAGCTCTCACGGCCCATTGAACACAGATGAAAAGCAAGTAAACAAGTACACATCGTAACTCGTTAATTATCGTGGATTATTGCTGCAAGCATATGGCGCATATGCTTATGACTCTCGTCAGAACTTTGTCTTCTGCCCAACGTGTTTAAAAAGCAATGATCGATCGGTAGCACTTCCAGGACTTTGGTTGGGGGGGGGGGGGGGGGGGCGGGGGTGTAAATGAGGTTTCCCCTGAAACAAGAGGTCCCGATTTGTTTCGTTCCTTGTAGCGGAAGGGGTGTATTACTGACGGTTGTATGTGTGCTGGTACTTTCATTAAAAAAAATGCAAAATGTCGCCGGGTGGGGGAGGGAGTTGCCGGCCCCCACCCACAATTTCATATGAAGCGACATAGTTGGAAAATTATCTTGAATATAAGTGTCAACAGGATTTTCCTCCCACCTCTAAACTTAAACATAATTCTTCATCTTCGTATCTAACAAGGTTTTTTTCGGGCTTGCGAGCTTTAGTTTGACGAGCGCTGTTTAGAAACATGTAAGTTTTCATTCACATAAACCACGATCCAAACATGCGAGAACTAAGATATGGCCTTTGAAACTGTAACTCCTTTAAAATTCTTCTTCTTTTTTTTCTTCTTTTTTTTTGTTTACATTGACAACCTTTTGGATATAGGCCGCCTTACGTAATCTCACATGACAGTATGTTTTTGACATCGTTCCTTTATATTAACTACGATTTAATGTGACATTTTTTTCCAAAGACAAAATCCATTCATGTTTTGTTTTTCATTCAAGTCCACTATAATAGAACATTTCTAAAAATGTTATGCACTTGGCTCACTTATTTGCGTCTATTAATTGTCATTATGTATTGCCTGCACTGATTACAATAGTTATCAATATTATATGTTATTTATCATTTGTTATTTATAATTTATTTGCATTTTATTTTTTCATTTTTGCGATTGAATTTCAATTAAATATACAATTTTGTGTCAGTATCTTAATAATTTTGTAAATGTATTTTGTTACTAATTAATATCAAACGCCTAGAAATGGGTGAACATGATTCGCTCATTTTCAACGGTAAAATAGGGCTGTTTCTGAGAAGACGTTCCAAGATTTCATGAAGATGTTTCACGTTCATGAAGACGTTTCTTAAAGGAGGTTGTCGTAGTGCTGGAACCGTTCAAGATGTTGGTGAATCACCTCGTAGCACAGGATGAACTGCTCCTGTAGATATGAAACCGAAGAAACAGAAGAAATGACGTCAATTTAAATAACTCCAGGGAGCAATATGTTACATGGATTTGAGACAAAATCGGTCATAGAAAACGTTCTCATGACTGTCCATTGAATTGAGTATCACCTCTTGTTCTGTAACAGTGGCGTGTCCAGGGAGGTGGGCTAGAGTAAAAAAAGGATCTCTAGCTGCCTTCAAGCACAGAGGGCCTATCACCAAATTTGTTGTCGCACCCCCCCCCCCCCGCAATTCAAATTAGTTTGACGACGCCCCTTCCTATTTCCTTCCTCCCGACCCAAAACCTGCATACATAGACTTGAAATGACCAGACGAACAGCAACTCACCAAGGATTCGATCATCTGCGGTCGGTTCATCCTTAGTCTCTTCACGGCTTGAAAGACGTCTACTATCTCATCCCCGCCCATCCTCTCATATACATTGGAGACAGCGCAAAAGACACCACTGCGGCCAACTCCGTTTCTGAATCGAGGGAAGAAAAATCAAAACCTTAATATTTTTTGGGTATGTGCTCATTCGGCTAGTACATGTTTATAGAAAATAATGCAGACATTAACACTGCTCGATCCTTTTGTGTACGAAAACTTTGAGGAAATATCATGTCGGGATTTTTTATTTTGATAGGCATTCTTTTTTCTGCTAAACTGTGAGCAACCTATTCTAAACGAAATGTGCATAAAAGACAATCGCCCCAGGCCCAGACTTTAATGACGTCACGCTGTGTTTACATGGTGCACTTGTTTCAAGTATTTTAACTGTTCGATGGAAATGGCAATGAAACTTAACTGACATGCATTGGACCAGAGTAGGTCCCGTAGACTGGCACTCCGACTGCCACTGGTTCACGGCGTCCAGCAGATCCAGTATGATCTGTGGCGAGTTGGGCTTATCCTCGTTACCTTCCCATCCATTCAACTGAAAGTGCTTCACGGTCAACGTGTTACCCTGGGAACGAGGAGAGAAAAAAACTGCTTGCTTTAAGGGTTTTTAAACCTCGGTTTCGTTTGGGCTTCGGCTACATTTCAAGTGACAGAAACATGTTTGAACCTTTCATGTTCAAACCAAACGGAAATACTCTAAATATCAGGATCATGATATAGAATTGGGATGTTTCGGAAGCAGACCATGCACCTCTATTGAGCCCACTGTCTTCCAAGTCATGCAGAGGTGGACAATCGTTTCAAGCTGAATTCTGTCGTATAGCCGAGGTTTCGTTAACGCCAGTAACAAACCCATTTAAGATTTAAACAATCTATCCAAGCATCTCCATTGTCAATCAGTAATTATGATCTTGTTAGCTTTATGCTGCCGTCTTCTCACTAACGATACACCCGAGCAATGTGTTTTCACTCGAAAAGAGGGCAACATTGCTCAAAGATTGAAGCCTTACCTCCGAGTTGTCACTCTTTGACACTCCCAGAGTTGTGGAGTTGTAGATTCGTCCTTTACTCTGATCGATCATCTCTACACACAGAGACCCGAAGACGAGGCTTCCAGAATCGGGCCAGTACTGCACTGGCTCCTGTAGGTTGATTTAGAAAAAGATTGAAAATAAATATGTGTGAACTTAAACAACTTGAAACAACTGCGAGTGCACAGTAAGCTCTGGCTGTGTTGCAAGAACTATTGCATGAAAGTCTTGCATGAAATCAATCAAATGATCCTTGCCTGAGCTGAAAAATGTGACGCCGAAAAATGCAAACCGATGGCACATGTGCAACTCCTACTTTTGGTTAATTTTCGGGGATAGACAGACAGACAGACAGACAGACAGACCACCAATGTAAAAGCTCCTGCCAGAGCTTAACAAAAGGCCAAACTGAGATTTTTGCCATATTTTGAGAAAAACACTGCAAAAATGGTGCTTAGAATATAAACCAGTTTTGGTGCTCACTTTTTTTTACATGCTTATAGTCTAGGACATAATATGTATTTGTTTGCACAGTATTAAAGATCAACAAACTTTACTTCGTTTTATTAAGACAAGAGAAAAAAGAAAATGTGCATTGACCCTGTTCTACTCAACAAATAGGAATCAGTCTCCAGTTATTTGTAATGACACTTAAATGGCAAATTACAAAGTTCGGCGATAACAGGGTCAGGAAAACAAAATAATGTCACTTTTTGGAACCTAACCAACTATCACAGGTGTATCGCCATGTACAGTCGTACAGACGTACAGACAACCCTGGCACTTACATTGTTGAAGGTGTGAGGACCGTTCATCATGACGATAGTGGGGCATTTCCAGTCGTACACCAGACGCCACAGGTCAGTCATGGTGTTTTGAAGAGGCAGTTGGGTCGTGATAAAGGCCTCCTTGCGCTTAAAACCCTGCCAGGTTGATATCAAATTAAAAACAAAACCAGCAATTACTAGATAAGTTGGTCACAGAACTCCAGCTCACACAAATCGGTTCAATTGATTTAGAATGGCCAAACAATTCGTAAAATTAGCTGAAGTGGTCACGTGATGGGAAATGAAAAACCACCTGTTGTCTTTCGCATGGAGATTTGAGCTATATACACATCAATGGCGAAGGTAGGCCTACACGAAACAAGCGGCGCCAGACTAATACACAGTGGTACAGATGCCACATGACATACATGCACGAAGAGGCCTGATGAAGCTGGCCCAGACCGGTGTAAATCACAAGAGGTTTAGTCAGTGAGATAGGTATCAAGCCTAATCGCCAGTCAGTCAACAAATGAGTCAACCAGTCAGGCACAAAGAGAACCCTATGTTGGCCCTCTGGGACCAGCACAAAAAACGACACCCCCCGCCCCCCCCAAAAAACCCACCGTCATAAGACGTTTTGTTCTTCCTGCTTGAAAAGCCATTTAATCAGTCCGATGATACGTCAAAGGACTTCAAAGACCCCCTGAATCGATCTTTGATTTTAATAAGTATACGACGATTTGTTTTAAATCCAAACATTTCATATTTACGAAGTGAAAAATGCTTTATACAGTGCACCAGACCCTTTCAAAATGTACTGATCTACAACATAAGCATCCAACTATTGAGTAGTTACTCAAATTTTGGAAACGCATCAGTGACATGAGCTAGGGACATGTTTCGATTTCCAGAGAGACATGTTTCCCAAGCCAGTGACGGCATGGGCGTCGCCAAGATTTTTTCTAGAGGGGGGCAAACATTTTTTTGCCAAAAAAAGCTTGTATTTCTCAACACATTTTCGATTTATCAATTTCAGAGGGGGGCAGGGACATTTTGCCCCCCCCCCCAACTCATTAAATTTACACCACTTTGTCTTCGCGCCTCTTTTTCTTTTTCTTTTTTTTCTTTTTTTTTTTCCCTTTTTTTTTTTTGCTTTTCCAGGGGGCGGGGGGGGCAAGTGCCCCCCTTGCCCCCCCCCTCGCGACGCCCATGAGTGACGGTGATGCTCAGCATATCCGGTTGAACATACTGAATTCGTTAAGTCCATCAATTTTCTATTTTATGGGTTGATTGATATGAAAATTTCAAGTGCGCGAGAAATAGTTTTATGCAAAGTGATGATTCTGTAATGATCTTTGAAATCGCAACTCGTACTTACGTCAACGAACGAGGCATTGATGTAACTCGAAGTACCGATCCCTGCGTAGGCCAAGTTGGGTCGGTTGCGCTCCACTACCGGTATTAATTACAGGGGGAAAAAACCACAAAATGCATTACAAGTTATCTTGGTGTTTTGGTATTGTGAAGCTAATTTTTTTTCATTCTCCGTCAAACTTACAAGGAAGCGCGTCTTCAAACCGATTCTTGTCGGCATTTTCAGGGAGGGTAGCCGCTCCATACGCCTCTTTATCTGGTGGTGGGGTGATTTGGTTCAATGCCTATGAAAATAAACAAACAATGACATAAACAACCACCAAAATATAAAAATCTAAAATCATGTAAATCAGTGACTGAAATCATTATTTGATTTTACAGTGTCACAATCTAATAAAGTAATAAGATCGTGAAAAGGAACGATTCCTATTGTTCTTTTTTATTTTAATTCCCCAAAAAACAAAGAAAGAATTTTTTTTTTAAATTAGGTTGAGAATTTTTGGATCAAAATTAAAGTTTCAAGAAAAGTAAAATCCAAGACGAATACACGTCGTTGTGAATCCTGCCGAAACTTTGCCACAGTTTGTGTTTTTTAAAAATTGGTTGTTGTAACAATTTACTTTCTGATTGGAGATAAATTTGTAATATAACTTAGTCCTGGCCTTATACTGTTCCTCAACGTAGCGTCTTCTGGTCTTCGGATTGATCTTCCTGAGTTTGGCAAATCTCTCGATGAAATATCTGAGCGGCATTCTTGTGTCTCCACTGAGATGTCCTTCCAACAGAGCCGCGTAGATGAACGCATACTGCTCCTGCGAACGGTAATTCAAATAATGAAGTTAAAATAATGTTGATGGAACTTGCTGAGTTTCTAATCAGGGTTAGTAGGGAACTCTTGTTCAGTTCTCCAAGAAAGAATCAGGGTTCAGTTCTACATCAAGAAACCCAAGCTTCATTCTCCAGAAAGACATCATTTGTGCAATGAGGATTACTTCTTTGGCTCAGCATTCAGGAAAGCTTGCTCTGTTCTAGAACAAGACAAGAACTGTGCTCTCTTCTTCTAGAAGCCTTGTAATTTTGAGGAACTTTGTTCAGTTTAGCAACAGTGAATACGAGCTAATATCTGAAATACAGATCCTTTTCTCGTTCGTCAGTTAGGAACTAATGCTAAGGTCTTCAAGAGATAGCCTTATTCAGTTGTTTTTATTGAGGAAACATTAATAAGTTCTTTAGTCAGGAACTCTTATTCAATTCTTTAAAGATGAACCCATGTTCAGTTTCATAAGGAACCTTATTCAGTTCTTCAATAAGAAAGCCTTCTTCAGTTCTTCATTTTGGAGCCCCTTTTCCGTGTTACAAACCTCACACAATTGAGAAAGGTATATCTTGGAACAATTACAGCCCCACCTATCACATCTTAGGAGAGGGGTGCATAGATGGTCCTACTTATCGCTCATTAACTGCACCACTTACATAGGTCTGAACCATGTTGACTCGGTTCTCTCTCATCTGCTTGGCGAATCTGAACACGCTGACTTCACCTTGCTCTAGCATCATGTCCATCAAGGTGTATATTGCAATGAAGGTTCCCGTCCGACCCACTCCGGCACTGTGTTTCAAAGAAATAACAAAAACGTAAATTTATCTTCAATTTCAGCATGACATGCCGCCTACAAGTCAAGTCCAGTTTCGACAGCAAGGTCAAGGCAGCATGTGATGATTCGTATAAAGCCTTGAAAACATCGAATATCAAAATCACCTATTAAATTGAATCGAAGTTAATCAAGAAAATACACAACAAGTAGCGTTTGATTTGATTTGATTTATTCGCAATTTCCACAAAATGAAATTATGAGTAAAATTCATGACATTTAAAGTCCATATATACACCTTTATAAATATTGTGCTTTGTATAAATAGTATGTCTTTTGCCTCTGCGCATTTGCAGCTTCACAGGTGCATCTTCGGTAACGAGTGGGCAGATTTCATTTTCCAATGCATGTAAATTTGAAAGCTAGGGTTCGTGGCTAGTTTTGGATTTTGTGGCACCTTGCTTTTAAGGACTCTGCCTGAATATTGTTCCACACTCTGCTTCAAAACCATTCAATCTAATCATATGGGGCATAACTTGATAATGTTCTATCTGGTTTGACCTTAAAGGTTTCTAAAAGATTCAGACTCAGTACAGAGATGCTTCCGAACCGGAGACGAAGTCGTGGTTTCATAAACCTCCACGCTTTAAATGGTAAGCCATATCAACATAGTATCGCGAGACCAAGTGTGGGATATTCCATTTGGTTCTGACAGGCCTCTGAACGAGTCTGTCGCCAGAGATGAACCCGATGCTGACAACGAAACCGTGGTTTTAAAACAGCGCCCGTTACTCACCTGCAATGAACCAGTATGGGTTTCTCAGCTTCTACGCTGGCGCGTTTGAGCATCGGAGACCGGGCATCCTTGACGACCTGCACCAGATTGAGCACAGAGGTCGGGTAGAGGGGCACGCCCATATCTGGCCAGGTGGTGATGTTGAAGTGCTTGATATTGTGGCAAACGTCATCCTGCCCAGCCTGGGAGATAAACAAGAATCAAAGAGTAGAAATTGCAAAGGTACACAAATCAAAAGAAAAACCTAAAAAGGTAACATAATTATTGTACCAGCCTGAATATTCGCCCACGTTTTCACGGAAAAAGGTTAAAGCATCTTTGGCAGATCGACAAAGGGCTACCCGAACTTTGATTGCAATGAGTTCTAGTCCTCACTGAATTTCAGGAATTTAGTTTCAGCTATTTTTCAAACAACAACAGTGCCTTGAAATCCTTGCTTATTAATCAAAAGATAACTACAACAAATGCAATATTATGCTTGTAAAATCTATTTCTTTAAACGAGAGTTAAACATGAAAAAAATTGGTACTAGGCATAACAGCGAGCCCAAATAAGTTTAAATATCAAACGAAAACAGATTTGCTTTTTACGAATAGGCTTTCAATTTATTCCTTTTTTTTGTCTTTGACGAAATTGAACAGATGACAAACATGACACAACTCATATACAAAATGTAACAAGATGTAACAACAAAGGAGGACACGGGTATACAAATTAAATTGGAAGTTTTCAGAAAGCAAATTATATTTCATTTTTTTAAACAAAATTAGAAACAAACAAAATTCGTTCTTGCCTGGTGGATTTGCAGCGTGCTGATTGCATAATCTGAGAATGTCTCCACTTCAAGAAGTTTGACGACAATCTTACCGAATGTCTCCTCCTCGTTCACTGTTGTTGGCCAATATCTCTTACATTTTTCCTGAAGAAAGATTTTATCAAAGCAAGGTTAATAATTTATTAATCAGACTACATGTATCAATCTAGTCTCTGCTCATATAATCAAAGAAATTGCAAACGAAAATGTTGCGTCTTGTATTTTCCCCCGCACATTGGATCATTTTTTCTTTATCTTTTGAAGAGACCAGTGGTGTAAAGATAAGCCGCTTACCTTGCCACTTTCTACAAGTCGCGTTGCCATGACGATGATGTTGAATTTCTCTTGCCAGATCATCCGCCAAAAGTCATTCAAGGAGGCAGCATTTGGTCCTAGGAATAAACAAATGTTTTAAAGTAGAAATGGGCGGTCTTTTGAATGGAGATATGTTATTAATTCTACTATCAGTTGCAGATCTAGAGGGGGGGGGGTGTTTGTTGTGGCAACCTCCCTGTTCAGTCGCTGACTAATGTTATGATACTAGTAAAATGGGCCTACATTTATTCTCAAATTACATTAGAATACAGGAGAAGCACTATAGATGTCAACATTCTCCAGGGGTAAGCCCCGGACCTCCATCTAGCACAGCGTGCCTTCGGCTCCCTTCACTCAACCCCCTTTCATATCAACCCCCCCCCCCCCAGCCCCCACCCCACCCCCACCCCGTTTCACGAAAGTTTGATCCGCCCCTGAACACTGGTATTAAACAAATCGATCAAGGGAGTCATTGAACATACCCATGGCAGCGACGAAGGAGTTTTTATGCTTGTAATCCTGTCAATCAAACGAACAAGAACGTTCAATGCAGGAAAACATGAACACATGAAGCAAAAAAATATATCTTGAATATTCATGATCATGAATAACTCATGATTGCATGGGACTGCTAGACTCGTTTAGTCCACAATTCTTCTATTTTGTTGTCGTATGATTTCTAAGCCTTTCAATTTCTGACATTCCATTTCACTACATCCTCTATGGGTAAGAAAGAAATTGTACCCCCCTGAAATTATTCTTTTTGCAATATCTACTGCAATAGACAATCCATCTTAATTCAGCAACGAAACTGAAAGCTACAAGGTACTTTCCCCGCCTTTCACCGCTGTGACCCAGGTTCGATTCCTCTCTTGGCCAACATGTGGCTTGGGTTTTCAGTCCCTACCTGATTCCATAGGGGTTCCCAAGAATATTTTGGAGTTTTCCTCCCACCTCTGATTCTGTAATTTCTTCACACTGTCTTCTCTCAACACTGGGCCTCATGGGAGACCGGTGGATTTCACTGAATGGGCTAACCAGTTAAAATAAGAAGTGAATGAATACATGAACAAACAAGGTTAAATTTCCAATCACTAATTAATTGGTTAATATTTATGTTTGTTTACCTGTATGTAGCTGGCGTTATAGTAATGCGATAATTTCACTCCTTCAATTGCTTCTAGCTGAACTCTCGACTCATCATCTAGAATTGCATCATCAACAAAAACCAACAGGGGTTATTTTAGACAACGGTTTTTACGAAATGAAACTTTGGACAAATTCTACTCTTTGTCAAAAAGAATATGATTGTGACTTACATGGTATGATGTTTTTAAAGCGGTTCCGGGTCTTCAAGTCTGGATTGGATGCCACGGTCCAGGGTTTTGTTTGGTCTGCGGGAAGGAGCTAAATCAAAACGAAATTGTTGTGATTTAAGTAATCAACTCAAAGCAGCAATTGTCAATTATTTGTAATCAATCAATCAATCAATTGCTCATTTGTTAGTGATCATCCTTGAAACAAACACTTGTTAATCGTCAAAGGGGGCATTAGCCTGACATTAGTGTAGCTGTTTCTTTTCAAGGGGAAGGCAAATTACAGTTAACTGTCCTTCTCAAGGACATAAACTAAGGCATGTACTAGAAGGCTTTTTCTGACACTAGTAATTGCTCAAGAAGTGACAAAATGTCGAAGGGAATTTGAACATACAAAACTACGACAAAAACTTGTTACTGAGATAAAACCGGCTTGGTATATAAGTAGATCAAGGCCTAAGTCTTCAGATGACAAGTGTTTGATTTCCTTACCGAGAATTCATACTTGAGGCTGTCCGTGGAACTGTCTTTCTTCTTCGTGATGTAATCGTCAAGTTGAGCTACAGGGATGGCGACGCTAAGCTTTGGACCCAGGTTCACGTTCCCGTACGCGCACTCATCGTCAGTTCTGGATCGCCGTGACTGTTTTGGGGTTGACTCTGGCTCCGAGGACTGTTTAGTTGTCTCTGGCTCCGACGGCTGTTTGGCGGGCTCTGGTTCCGAAGACTGTTTGGGTGCTTCTACTACTACTAGTGACGTCCTTTCTGACTGTTCGGATATAATACTGTCTGTTGGCTGTTTAATGCCGGCGAATAGTTGCAGCAACCCCAACGGTAGACTGTTCGGATCGATGCTGGATGGGGGAGGCGGCTTGTGGGCGGGTTTGGCGGGAAATCGGCCCTTTTTGGATCCCCTAGTAACTGATGTCCTCTTCTGTGATTGGTCAGGCGCCAAACCTGACACGGTAGATATTAAAGGGGCATTTCGTTTCTTTTAATAAGAGTCACTTTTAAAGAATTTTAAAGTTTATCGATTTCCAGGCCTAATTTAAGTAAAAGCATTTTTTTTTACACTTTTGACGGCGGACTGCAGAAGACCTTTCAGTGGTGAAAACCCATGCCGATTTGGTAAGAGACACTTAAGCCATGGATATAAAGAAAACTATCAAAGACACAATAATGCACCTTAATATGGAAAAATGTAGTGACATTTCCAATTTTTGTTAGGAACACATTTTGGGTAATTGTCTACTCCTCTTAAATGTATGAAAAGTCTTTGACATCCTTGTTTTGTCAATTTTATACTGAAAAGTGCACTTGGTTGAACATTTAAAATTGTTCATTATTTTCTGGTCAACTGAGGGTGCTGTTGCTAATGTCCATTCAAAATTTAAAATATTATATTTAATGGGACACAAAGGAACATTATTAAGGATTGCATTAAAAAACCTACATTGCATGGCCCTTTAAGCCATAGATTTGGGGAAACTCTGAAATACACAAAAATAAACCTTTATAGGGAACAATGTAGACGAATTTCCAGTCATTTTTAACTTTGTTGCTTCAGAATCACGCAGTCAGTTTTAGCGTTATTAACCGTCTACTTGACTTTTTATGTCATATGACGTTTACCTGCGTTTGCATAGATGGTAGCCTCATTATCAGCAGTTTTATGAGTTTCTGCTGATGACACATCAGCCGGAGTCAGATCCTTGGCAGTTCCTTGGTCTGCGGACGTAAGACAAGATAAGTCAATGTTAATAAGTTTATCAATGTTCAAGGAAAACAAAATTAACGATATATTGTTGACTTTCTGAGAATGTTTTAATATAAAGCTGAACACGGACAACAGATTATGGGCTCATGCGCCAATAAAAGAGGGCGGGACATTTCGCTGGTTGACGCGCACCGTTCCTTGTGTGTGACGCACGTACACCAGGGGATTCAGTTGTACTATGTACACGCATTGTTAGTGGCGGCCGCGCGTCACGGCAAAGTTGCAGTCAAGCAAGATGGCGTCGGTCATTCACCCCCAACTGTACTTTCTTTGCCGGTGAGGGGATACTTGTGAACGGAGCGGATGGAAGGGGCATAGAACACACAATAAAGGGGACAAAATAATGGCCAAAGTTCCATTTATAGAGGATTGATGTGCCCATACTGTTGTGCCCATACTGTTGTTAAAAGGATTTTGTAGTAGCGTCCTTGGCCGTTTCCTCTTTCCGAGCATTATCTTTGTTGGTCATTTCCTTTTGTTTACAAAATGAAAGTAACCACGTCACTCTTTACTTCTGCTGCCCTCATGCGTCTGAGGTGAGCCATCTCACTTTCTAAAGTTTATGTACTGTTTTACCTGTGTTGTCGCTGATGTTGCTGTCGTAAGCGTTGTTTTTGTGGATGGTTCCAGGTTTATCACTGTTTTGTCTTCCGGAATATTCTTGGCGTCTTCTGTAGACACAGAAACAAATGAAAACGTGCTCATTGTTAAGCCGTCATAGCGAAGAGTTCACTTGTCATGAAGACGTGCTTACAGACCATACGATGATTGACTTGCTCATCTCAGCTTAAGCTCCCTTGTGTTCGCAGAACTTTAAATAAATGTTAAAGAAGTATTCTTCTTCTTCTGGTAATAACGAACGGAGAAGCACATGTTTCTCCTGATGTGCAGTGTTTTACTCGACTGAAAAGCCAAACATTAATTAATTTTTATTTTATTTTAGTATAACGACTGAAGCACATTACAGCACGGCGTGTTCTGTCATCTACTAACTGACTTGTATGTGCGTCATTCTATAAATGTGGGGTAGGCCTACACTTGTTCCTGTCCTTGTAACATCTGACATCTCTGAAGCACTCCTAATGCAGTCGTCATCCAAGAGCGACTATCAACAGCATACTAACTACCCAGCAAATGATCATTTGAAGGTACTCTTAATGATTCACGAATGGCAAAGTACTATAGGTACCAAGGTAATAGGGTCAGAAAAAAAATGTCACTTTGGACAACACTAACAGAGTTACTCATATCCTTGAACATAGCCCGAGCAAGACATACCTTCGTCTCACGAGAAGAACGACTACAATTGCGATGATGATGATGAACAAAGTGCCCAAAATACCTCCAGCTACGCTCCCACCATTGCCAGTTTGGCTGTCCGTACCACCTGCGAACGAAAAGGATTTAAAACAAAATACATTGTACCTATCAAGATCAATTCACTTTATGCGGATGAAATAGGCGAAGGATTGAGAATGTGGAAGGACGTGCGGAACATTGATTCGACGCAGACGGCAATCTATCGGTTACGCGCGCGAAGGCAGCTGCGGTTGTCCACATTATACGCTTAGCCGAGTACTACTGTCCAAAAGCCGACATGACTTCAACTTCATTGTAGGCATTTGAAAAGTATGTTACACATGTCGAAGTAAAAAGTTAATGTTAGCGAAACTGACTGACATCTCTGAAGCACTCCGTCAAAAAAAAAAAACTCAAATGACAGGACCATTTTTAAAATAGAGTTCTGCATGTAGCACTATAAAAAACTAGGATATGAAGCCCAATTAATATGCTTTCTTTTAGTACAAGAATCATTGAAATCACTCATGTACTTTTCAAGTTACGGACTTTTAAACACAACCACAGGTTTCAAAATTCTGTCCACAGATCACAAAAACGGTCTGTGTTCTTTCAGCAAAATGAAAACAATTCACACACATCCCCATGTGAATTGTTTTCGTTTTGTGAAAGATCGGGAGGAAAGGGTTCATTAGTTGGAACATCATGCTATAATATTGTTACCAAAAGTATAGATCTTTCTTTGAACACAAATAGGTAATATTCCAATCTCGAACTCTCTCCTAAACCTCAAAGCCCTCTTACCCCCGCGACAATCTAAAAACATACTGTTAGTTTTACTACAATAACGAAATAGCTTTTGTTTTACCTGTTTCTACTGTTGTCGCCTTAACAGCTTCGCTCCAATCACTTCCCCCGACTCCGTTGACAATTTTAACCTTTTTTGAGGTTTAAAGAAAAGGAAATTGACGTTAGGGTTCCATTTGAAATTCAAATTAAAACAAAAATAATATAAGCTCAGATGACTCTATACATTTTTCAATCCACGTTGTCAATCGCTCAACAATGAAATCAACCAGTGAATATGTCGTTTCTCCTTTTTTATTCGTCTTGATAAATAACTTGAATGTCCTCCAAAAATATTTAACATGCACCACGCGATAATGTGTCCTCTTTTCAATAGTTTATCAATCGTTTAATAATTTTTTGTCAGTTATCTGTTTTACTTTGAGATAGGAATTTACCCTTATGGTGTAGTCGGTCGTACTCGGCAGGCCCGTTATCGTGTACGTCATTTTGTAGCCTGTTTGGTTGACGCGCATGACTGTTGCCTCTGTTAGGGCGCCCTCAGTGGCTAGGCTGTACTGGATGAAGTAGTGACTCACGTTACCGTTCAGATTGTGAGGTGACGTTGCCTCCGACTGCACCGTGATTGAGCTCGTGGTGCTGCGTGGAATGGTCACCATCTGCGGGGGAGGGGGCTTTTCCTCGGGCGTGTACGTCATGATGACGTCACTCCAGGGACCGTCACCGATTTCGTTGACGGCGCGGATGGAGATGGCGTATTGTACGTAGGGTTCCAGACCCGTTAGATTGACAGCTGTTACCACATGGTCCACGGTATCTGTCACGCTGGTTCCCGTGTCGAGATCAGGTGTGTAGCGAATACGGTACTGCGTGATACCAGTGCTGCATCCTTGGAAATCAGCCTGCAGGTCCTGAAGTTGAGAAGAAACAGGAATGACACAAACTTTAGAGAATCGTTTAGAATTAGATATGCTCCTGCGAAATGCTAGACCACAATGCATTCAACAACATCACATATCAGCGGCCAACGTAGCTGCATAATAAAGATAAGTTCCAGTAACCAATCTGACATGGAAACATGAGGACCTATAGTATATGAATAGAAGTGGTACTCTTGGGTGACCCATTCATTGAAGTCCAATTATTTTCGAGATTCCAAAGCAATAACCAGACATACTGACCTGCCAGGTAACGACGATTTGTCTTTTTATTTGTTGCTTGCTGGACGCTTGTACATCGTCCGGTGGCTTTAGGGGTTCTGGGCATATTAGAAAAGAAAAATTGTAGTGTATCTTTCAAGAGAGTGTGGCCCAGTGGTAAAGTTTCGTGACTCATCATGATCATGGGTTTGAATCGAGTTGCTGGCCACAATTTGTGTCCTTGGGCGAGCCACTTCGCTCCCACCTGCCTCTCTTTACCCTGGTTCATACCGGCTTTACCTTGGGGTAACATGCGATGGACTGGCATCCCATTCAAGGGACTCGTTCGTAGTCGTTTCATGCCAAGGAAACCGGGAATAAACACCGGCTCGTGACTTCATCTTGTGACTCATAATATGGAGCGATCTTTCCTTTATCAATGCTATCCAGTTTTAGTAAATTCCCCTAACTTGCAGCAATTAAGACCGATCCTCGTTTCAAGAGTTGTAGTCAATCACAGGTCAATCGCAATTGAGTTATAGGACATAAGTCAAGTTCACAAAAAGTCAATCGCAATGCCTTTATAAGTTTTTGCCCGACTTGTGATAGACTTGTGATCGAATTTGCGATTGTTTTCGATGGACGTGTGCCTGACTTGTGATCACATCACTGCTCTTCAAGTATAACTTACCACTGCATAACGTTGTCACTGACAGTATGGCACCTATCGCTCCCTCACCGCCCACTCCTTCCCTGCTGACGGCCACGCCCAGTTCGTACGCAGTCTCTGGTGCCAGCTCGCCAACAGTTGCTGTCAGACTGGTAGCCGTCACAGGGAGCATGGTACCACTCAGCCACTCCTGGGAATCCCCATTCTGTGGCCGGTATTGCACGGTGTATGCCGTGATGGGTGGGTCGCCTGTGTCACCGACGTCAGGGCTCCATGCATCCCATTCGATGGTCACCTCACGAGCCTTTATCTGCATGGCACGGGGCTGTCTGGTCAAGACAGGTAATTCTGATTCCAAGACAAAAAAATAACATCTTTAGCTTTCATGGAATTGGGGGCTACCTTCACGCCTTCTCACCCCTCGTGTTCAACTAAAAAGCTGATATAGTAGCAAGACAGCCATGTGTAATATGATGGACTCACCGTACATATCTGCAGTGTATAGCAGAGTCACGTAGGGCTCCACGATGTAGCAAGTGAACTCCTCACCCAGCTCCACAGCTGGGATTACGAACGTTAGCACGCGCTCCGAGCCAATCACATTGCTCGTATCTGACTCGTACTGACCATCATTGGAAGATCGGTAGACTTTGACTGCAGCCGCCAGAGGTAGCGGATCCCCAGTCACAATACACGTGAACATTGACGTCTGTCCGCTGTTCGCTTTAGTGTTGATGAAACTAACTATTCCTAGAGTATCAACAACAAGAATTCATTGAGTCTAATAAGTGTTTAAAAAAATGTTTACTACCACCAACAAATCTTTCCACTTTCACCATTATATTCGTACACAATATCATAGAGACAATTTCATTTCACAAGGTTGCCCCTGTTGGATTCACAGTCCATGGCTCAACAAAACTACAGGCGAGTCTAGTTAAAGGGAAATGTACATCATTGGCTTTTGCTGTAATTTTCAGAAACGAACTATTTGAGGGGTTAGTATAATAGATCAAATATTGTTACACAGACATGTTTGAAGTTTTGTGTTCGAAAATGCTGGAAAAACCAAGAAAAACAAATTTTCAAGTAGTCTGGTTCCTTGACTCCACTAAAGATGAAATGGATAGCAAACAAAACTTGGATTGAAAAAAGTGTAAAGTTGGAGCAGTAGTTGAAAAATAGTTAGGTTTTTCCAACGGTGGTCGGCCGACCACCGTTGGAAATGTATACAAAAATACCATTTTCTTGAAAATGACTTGACACCAGGTACCATAATTTTACAGGATGCTTTAGACTGTCATTTATTAACATCCTTGTAAGGTATTTCGAAAAAACTTGGTAGTTTTATTTTTCGATGTTTGCAAATGTTGTATATTTCCTTTAAGCTAGTCCCAGACAAATTTTGGTTTATTGGGTATAGGCAGTCAACTGAGTCAATATTTGGTCAAAGGTCAGGCTTACGCAAGTCTAATTCAGAAATGGGGGAGTCAGTCAGTCAGTCATTGAAATCAGCACAAAGAGGACAATAGGCTGGCCCTCTGGGAACCTCAAAATTATGATTAGAAGGTCAAAATAATGTTGTCAAGGGAGTAATTTGGTTGTCAGGTTATTGAACTTTGACCTCTGACCTGTAGTGCAGTCTGGTTCCGCCCAGTTGGTTTTGCAACCTCCATTGCAGACTCCTGAAGACTTCACGCAGTTGGAGTCCTCACAGTGACAAACACCAGCGCAGTTTACACCGTACGTGCCATCTCGACACTCTGAAAAAAATAAAAGAAAATGTTATTCATTTTCACTCCCGAAATTAACATGCCACAGTTGTTCAAACTTTGCTTGATTTAATGTAGGTGTTTTACGAAATCTTCTCACGATAAATGTTATCCAACCCTCATAACGGCCATGTTTTTTTTATATATATATTTGTTTGTTTGTCTTGGTCCAAACGAATATACAAAGATAGATGTACTTTCTATTCGTGAAGCTTTATGGCTATTAAATGTGACCGTCTGCTTTTTAAAATGATACATTTGCCTGACACGAACTTGTTTGGCATGAAGTTTCATCCCAGAAGAAAGAAAACCAAATTATTTTATGATTATGTTTGAGTACACCAGGAGTAAAATAATCCACCGCACATTTTTTTTTACAAACAAATTGTTTTAAATGTCGACACACCATGACAAACTTAAATAGATTGTTATTTCAATCGATTTTAGACCTTTATACTGAGCGGTTTATGCTATACACAGGGAAACAAAACCAGACTTTTGAAAGTGAAAGATGCTATTGCAGGCTTGTATCGTATCTAACAAGCTATAGCTATAATGATAGCAACGGGAAAACCCACTGAAAACCTTGAAAGTGCTGAGTTTGCATGGCATCTTGTCTGGTTTTGTCTGGTGAAAGCGAAAGTGACTTGACTTGCCTGGTATCCTTTTGGCATCAGAAAGGGAAACAATTCATTTAAGTAGAACTATAAACAGTTGAATTCTCATAATTCTCATAAATGTTCTGCTTTGCTAAAAAGTTGTACCTTAAGTTAGATTAGGAGACAATAAATTCTCCCTAATGTTTCAAATTTCATTTCTGGGCATAACTAGCACTCCGCCGCCGCAAATAACCGCAAACAAATCGATTCCTTGTTTATGCAAAACCCAACTTTACAAGGTTTGGTGAGGGTAGATTATGTTTATATTAAGTTTAAGTTAATAAGGTTAAGTGTCATTGAAATTCGGATGGTTTTTTTTTTTAATTTTCATTTTGCACAAGTCTATGGGAATATCTCCCAAAGGTACAATGTCCCGTATGTCAAATAACGATTTCGCAATTCAACAAGGAAATAGTGTGGATGTATTTTCTCTTTCTGCATAATTTCAGTGATCACCACATTGGAGTGATATTTGTACTGGCAATGTTTCTGTCTACGTTTGTCCCGTTTATGAGGGAACATCCTGTCGATGGCTGATTGCGGTTGACCCCCTGTGACCGCAGATCCGCGCCAGCGATGTCACGGCCTGATATTCTTCAAATTGCGGTGATTTCAGGGATTTCCGTTGTAGAAGGAAATAAACACGAGAATTCGGATCAAATTTCCAATCGCTTTTTGGTCTGCTGGGAAACGTAGCTGTGAATAGCAACATTTTATTATAGGCCTTTTACTACACACGTCTAGAAGCATAGTTTATCTGCTTAAGTTAATAATTAGGGGACACATCGGACAACTAACATCTAATGACGAAGTTTCAAACTTTTCACATCGATTGTTCCATGTGATCAAATAGCTGTAAAGACGATCCAATTTTGGTTCAGGATGGTTTAAGAAATTGATTGGTCTTTCATTGAGAATCGCAGTGGTTTGGACAGTGGCCTTTCCATTTGTTTTGGGTTCGATGGCAATGAGGATATTTTTGTCCACTAAAAACAGTTTTGAAATTGGGGTAGAAAATTAATATCACTTGAGAAGTGCTAAAACGCTTCCGATTCAAAAGCAAAATCTCCCTTGTTGGATAAGTTGCCCCTGTCTCCCCACCCCACTCCCTCCCCTACTCCCCGGAAACCTGACTGTATGAGAATGTGCTCTGATTCTATCCAAGAATCTACGAAAACAAATCAGTAGTTGCTCATTTATTGACAAAAATGTAAAACAAAAACTTAGAATGGCCTCAGTTGACCTCTGACCTTGACAGTTGAATCCCCCTGGGTAGACGGTGAAGCCAGGCTTGCACTGTCCGTTGGGACATCCCCCTGTCTGTTTATCACAGGGTCTGTCCTCCAAACATTGACACTTCCCCGTGCAGTCAGTACCGTAGAAGTCACTGCCGCAAACACCTGGAACTGTAAGAAAAAAAAGATGGAAAGGGGGACTCGAGGTACATACAACGGCCCACAAACTGGCACTGCTGGGCTCATTCCAAACGCTGAATTATTTGCAAAAAAAAAAATCTCTCTCGTAAAAAAAAAACATTCTAGAAACATTTTGTCGGGGTGGGATTTTGTCATCATCCTAATTCCACCAACAGACTGGAAATTGCTAATGCAGTTATTATAGAGTTCTTAATTTAAAAATGAATGAGAAACCTCAATGTTAAAAATGACAAATGTTGTGTTGAAAATATGACTTTTGAAAGTTATTTGGGTTGTCGTGATTTTCTGTTGCACTTACTTTGGCAGGATTGGCCTGACCAACCCGGGGCACAGCCACGGCTACACTCCCCGGTAAAACGGTCGCACCTCGACCCTGGATCGCAATGACATTCCTGCAGGCAACTAGCGCCAAACGTTCCACTCGGGCATGCTGGAATTGGAAAAACAAAATCACTGATTAAATGAAAACTTCACTCTACCAAGATTGATTGCATCGAAAATGAAAAGAGTGGTTCGTGAGATATGTTGTCAAAGTGTCAAAATGTCAGCCTTAGTTTCCTAATAATTACATACGTACAGTTTTATTCTGTCACATTTCGTACATTATGACTGTTATGCGAAGATTAAATGAAAAGGATTTTTTTTTTTTCGATATTGGCATCTTGACGTGATTTGAGGAGTCTGGGAATATAACCCAATAATCGAATTTCTCTTTCTTTTTTGATAACAAAACGATATGACACATTTCACTCTTTGAACCGATGTATCGCTTTTAGCTTAATCAGTTTGATCCACCTGCCTTCAAATGTGTGCTTTCGTGTCACCGAATAATGAAAGTAAATTTTCCATTCGTCGATAGTTCTGTCAAAACAGTGACTCATTATCATTTCCTCAGTGACACATAGTCACTAATACATGTTATATTTTAAACCCAATCTATTCAAAAGTATCCTAACGATGCAACACAATAAACGTTTCTTTAAAGAAAATTCAACATGTGTTATATATTACTTTTGCTTTAATAACACTACCATATAGTCTAATAATTGAGGTGCACATCAGCAGTGATACCGCTGTTCTTTCAAATTTCTACGTATGCCTAAGATTCTTGTAATCTCGATACCTCATGTTTGATTGATTCATCGATTACCAATATAGTCAATATATAAACGAATATCTGATACAAGCCAAAATATCCGGCACTAACCTGCAAGGCAGTCGTAGCCTGCGTACCCAGCATTACACCTGCAGCCCATAGGGTCAGGAACGCAGAACACCAGACCCCTACAGTTATCAGTGCTGGAGCACTGTATCTCACAGCTAAAGCCGAATCTGTAAGCACCACAAGCTGAAACAAAGTATCGCCAGAAATAACATATCATTTTACAGAATAACATCGCTTCTAACCTGGTACAGTTATTGCTATAAATGTATAAAACATGAACATTTATAACCTGGCGCCATTATTAAACAAAAGCGAAAATTAGCCTGTAAACAAGCATTACAAAAAATTAACATTGTACGTTTACGTCATTTAACATGATGTTATACGGTATCTTTTCTTACTATTTATCCAAAATTAAAGTGAACGAAATGCAGATGAACTGATCTTCTTCAATACAGCATAATGACGATGATCAGGATATGCTCAGTAAGAAAACTTAACATAAAAATCGACTACAAACAAAAGAGAAGAACAACCGTCATTCTCTCACCGATTAGAAAGTGTATTAATATATATTTTGTGATTTTTACTTTTCTTGGGGTGGTTTTTTTTTTTGAGAAATTTGTTTTTACCCTGCAAGCAGTTCTCTCCTCTAAAACCAGCCGGGCACACACACTGTCCATTCAGGTCATTACATATGCCGCCATTATAACAGTTATCACAGACTCCTGAGCATTCCGGTGGGCCCCATCGACCCGCTGGGCAACCTATATATTCAGCCAAGATTTATATAAAGACAGTCAAAATTGAGGTTAGAAATTACTCTACTCAAACCCTCTCATACACAAAATAATTACTTCCAAAGTGGTTAAATACATATCCGGAGTTTCGCTCGTGCCCCGCCCTGCAATCAGGACGCTGGGTAGGGCTGATCTTTTCGAGCTCTCACTGCAAAGATGTGGTGTGACCTGTGACGTACAGGCAGCACTGCTGCTGTTGATGCTCCAAAATGGCCTCCTATCGAGGAAGCGGAAAGTATTACCTTCACGAAGTGGCTTTAGAATTCCCAGTGTTATACTTGCGTATTGAATCACAAAATGTCTTCCCTGACATAATGCCATAAAATGTTACAAATCAAGGTCCGATACTACTTATTGCGGTCTTTAGTCTCTTGGTGATGATTTTAAAACACGTAAGCCCCCCTTTCCTTATTCCTTTACAAATCTTGAAGTTGCACACATTAGTTACACCCTTTAAAAATTCGACAATCGGCGACTGTTCTCTCTGTAGACAAATGCCGCACCCGTCCTCTTAATGTGCCTCTTTCTTTAAAATGCCAAAATGTGAAGTCACAACACCTTTGCTGAAGAAACGTATGTAATATCTTTAATAATAAATAACCGTAACAAGTATTTGCAACGTTGGTTTTTCAAGCGCACCTCTGACTATCAGTCTAACCAGCCCTTGCCTCGCTTCGTCCCGTTCTCTCAAATAGTGACACTCGTATACTCCGGCCTGGGTCTGTGTAACAGCTCCCTCGATGGCAAAGTTCGGTGACCCCGTTGTCAGGATGCCCGAATTGTTGAACCTCCATGCAAAGTCGTTGGTGGATGAGACGATGCCTGACATCTCAATCAAGACGCCAGTGTCTCCTGCGTTGACCGTCTTTGTGTACAAGCCATCCGCAGGGACGATCTTCGCTATTTTGATTAAACAATTAATTATAGGATCGTCTGCTTTTCAAGCATTTTGGGGACGAAAAAGAATATTGAAAACCTAAACAAAACTGTTAGAGTATCAGCTCCGTGAATACAATGTGATACACTTTTCGAGAAAACAGTGAAAAAGTATCACATCCTTTTGATCACTAAACACGATTTCGTTCAAAGAACACTGTTTTCTCCCAAAATCAATCAATTATTGACTGATCTTTCGAAATCACATACATTACTTGATTTTCCTCTAAATGACAGCACACCAGATGAAAAAAAATTCAAGGGGAGTTTAGAAACAGACGATCTTCAACGATGCATTCGCCGTGATATTCTTGAGTTTTATCTCGAAAAAATGGATCCCTTTTCTAAATTGCTCGTTTACTAGCAATACAAAAGTTTTTCATATTTGAATGAGATATTGAGATAATCCTTTAGTTTATTGAATTATAACTTAACAGTTTCGTATTATTGGCTGTTTGACAACAATTCTCGTAATTAGCTGGTTGCTCCACAATCAGTATAGGCCATATCCATATAAAACGTGCGGAACGAGAGCCAGTCTGCTCGCAAAAGGGATGTGGTTTTCTTTTAGGTTTACATACGTCCAAAAAGAAATAAAGAGTTTTTTTTGTATTCTGATAAAAATGTAAACTTACAAATTTACTGATACGAAAAAGACCGAATTACTCGACTTAGAGCATAGGGAACGCAACTGAAAATCCAAGTTTAATTGTGATAATATTTTGGTAGGTTAATTTTTGGACAAATACAAAATGATCCTACATTGCAAAAACTGTGGTGTTAATTTAATACCATTCGGTATTTATACATAGGATAACACAAGTAAAATCTAATACCAGATACAAATGGTGTATATTTAACTCCAGAGTTTTGGCAGTGTAATGCCTTCAAACAGGACGAGATAAGCCTAGTAAAGCTGGTCCCAGAGCACAGGGGGAAGTAGTCAATAATGATTGAATATGGTTGAAAAGTTCGAAGGAATGTTTGAATCGTGCGTTTGTTCTATAGTATAAGGGGCATGCTCTTTTTTCTCTGTCAGCCCCCGTAAGAAAATCTTAAAATAACTGTACTTCTTAAACTCTTTAAAGTCAGCTTACCACTGTAGAGCAAAACAGTAGCAGTTATCGTCGTCAGCAACCTTCCACGCTTCCTCGCTCGACAGAAATATATCCCGAAGTAGTTCTGGTATTGATAATAAAGATTTACTCGGATGGATCCTTGCACACTGCCCGGTGATGCGCTCGTCGGGCCTCTGTTTTGGGGATCAAGGGTTCGTGTTCTCACGTAACGTCCGTAGCTAACTGCAGCGTCTCTATCGGGCTCACTACGGTAGCACGTGTACCTGCTATCGCCCAATGGTCGATAAACCACCGTCATGTGCACGGGAACTTCATCACCTATGATGGGAAATATTCAATAAAATAAATTGTAAATGTGAGGCGTTCTGGCAAAATAAGGCAGAACTGAGCACTGGTCGAAATGTGGTCTGCGGTTATTAGACACAAAAAAATAAAGCAATACAATACTGTTTATTGCTGTTTCTTCAATCGGAAAAGCCTACTGATTATGGCTAATTAAAGTTCACATTATCGACATGTCAAAAAAAGGAAAATACTCAGAAAGAGGCTTGTTCAAGTTTTGACCTTTTTAAAGTTATGAATTCAGTTATGCTAATTGGGTTGTTTTCTTAAAATCACTTTAATGCTACGATTTTTACACCATTTCGTGATTCCGTTGTGTACATGATTACAGTGGCGCACCGGGGGAGGGCCCTCGGGGGGCATGAGCCCCCCCCAAAAAAAAAAAAATTGTCAATTTTTTTATTTTTTTTATTTTTTTTTGTCCCACGATGTTACCTTGGTGATATGTATGTGGCCTATTTTCGAGAAGTATAATAGAGGTGTAAGTGGGGTCACCAACGTCAAAATAGTCAGCCCCCCAAAAAAAACCTCCATTTTTTTCTGCGGCAAAAAATGTTGGCAACATTTTTTGAAAAAATTTGCCCCCCCCCCAAAAAAAAAAAACCCTGGGTGCGCCACTGCATGATTAGAACCACTCAGCAATTTAAACACTCATCTCTTCAGGAAAAAAAAACAACATGCCGGCCATGTTGCCCGAAAGGAAATTGTCAAAGTTCATGGACAAAAAAATAAGAGATTTACTGACCTGCAGCGAACGAAACTACACAGAAAGACAACAAAAGGGACAGACGTAGTACCACAGAGACGGCAGCCATTGTTCCCAAAGTTTTGTACCGACTAACACTCGTAGATAGTCCCATTTTTTGGGTGAAATTTGTCCTAATGCAACAACACAGCTTGGATATTCATCCCGTTTGTGCGACGCAACAACACACAAAGGATATGTGGAAAAAGTCGGAAGTAGGATCGACAGCGTGTGCTGTTTTTTTTTTAGCCCTTCACGTCACACGGAAATTCAGATAACCATCAAAAGTAAAAGTCATGCCACATTGTTTGTGCTTGTTCGTACTTAACACAAACTGGAGCGTAAGGAATCTCAGCTTCCTGTGTGCATTATTTTAGTTTCCTGGTTACCCTTATTTTTTTTGAGGTGTCTCAGCCAGCTATAAACTTGGTTGCCGATTTATCAGTAGAATCGAACCCCCCCCCCCCTCAAAAAAAGCAGATTGCACGTAATGGCCAATCATGTCGTTCGATGCATGGACTGTTTTTAAAACCCCTAACCCCCCCCCCCCCAAATGCATTTGCGCATACCCACTACCCTGCAAACATGGCGCTGTGAAGGGCTAATGAGCTTTACAGAATCTTGTGAAGGAAGTGGGGATGGCACTCGGGGTTATTTAGCATGACCTATGTATAAAGCATCCGGCTGCAGCTGTTTAAGACCGCGGTTAGCCAATGCGCGCAAATGCTATCCGAAAACTTTCTCGGAGAAATGCATACATTAATCGGATGTGGTTTCTTTTTAACATGTGGACAAATTTTGAGCGTCAAATAATACGCATTTCGACCCTTCGTGAATTCGACTGACGGGAGCTCAACATTTACAAATGTTCCTACATTATTACGCTTTTCAACGAAAAAAGGGCATTTATGAATGGGAATAACAGAGTGATGAACACTCAGTCTTATAAACGTTTTAAACCTTGCAGGGTCGTGGCCGTGATGACTTGCAGGTTACAGGTCACGCAAACTCTATCCAATCAGAGCATTAATTCGTCAGCCCTTCCCAGTGTCCTGTTTGCAGGGCGGGGGGTACCAGCGAAGACCATGCAAGCCAAGTAAAGCTTGGTGTCAGCCCAGTGGCGTAAATGTGTGTTTTTATGGTGTAAATCGAGGTGGGGGTGCCTGCAAACCAAATGACACTAAGGCCAAAAAGAAAAGTCTCCGGTTTCTGGTATGCGCGCACGTCGCCGTAGCTATGCGCGTCGGCAAAATGAAAAAGGGTTTTTTTTCAATGAAAGATGATATCTCAAAACCGCCAAACTCACTGGTTTTGAATGGAATCCTGCTGCTGCACAATTTTAAAGTGTTTTTAGATGGGGTTACGATCGAGAATAAGCTTTATGTGGCCTCTCTGGACTCCCATAATATTTGCACAAAGTTTAGTCGGGCACCATTTGCAGTCATCAGCCGACATTTGAAGAAAAAAAACGGTAAAAAAAAAAAACCACGTCGCCGCACTACTTTTTGGGCAACCTCCATACCAGAAACCTGAGGCATTTTTTTGGCCAAAGGGGCGCTGTTCAGGATACAAAATAAATGTACATCTGTATGCAAAGATGTATGCTTACGCCCTCAATTCGACGTTGAGGTGAACCTGCTCGGTGAACCTGCATGAATGCGGTCAAAATTTACACACCATTTTGATTTAGGACAAAGTTTAACATGTCCGGATTAATACACTTTAACTGTGTAAGCAGCCGAACGGATACAACAGGTCACGGGCAGAGATTTATGTTTAGGGAAAGATGTGATTTAAAGGTCAGTTTAATCACGTGACCTGTGAACTGTTATTTCTGTATAAAGGCAACGAATCTGAAGCAAGCAGTAGTGTTTCAGTTGGTTGCGAGTCGGCGCAGACTTGTCGATACAAAGACAATACGGCCGTTGCCTGTTGCATCACGATGCGGTTTCTCACGCACATGTTCCTTGCGATTATCGCCATCCTTCTGGGTAAGTTCCAAACATTTGTTTGAATTTCTCTTTTTCAAATTTAAAAATTACGGATTCCTGTAGCGTGTAACCGAAGGGACAAAAAAGTTTTCCACATGTTACGTTCAATGTCAAGTACTCTGCCACGACGCGCGCTATAACGGTTTTAACGAAGGAAACGCGGAGCGGGATCTCGGTCCGTGCTGTCCTACCGAGTCGGCCGATTTGGCTGCCGAAAGAGCTCATAAAAAATACTATTGCCTGCCTAATACTTTGTTTCTGAAGTGCTTGTTGTAACAATTTGGAAGTTGTATTCCAGGATAGAAAATGCACCACTCAGAGCTTCTTTTTGTTTTGAAATCGCTTGTGGGCATGCACTAGCTACCCCTCGCTTACCAGAGGTAACGTATTCGGCGTGGATTGCCTGGCGGGTGTGCCTTTGGCGGGGCGGATATAGGCTTACTGCCCGCTGAAAATCTACGTCTTTTTTCTTTTGCAAACGCTGGTGTGCGTGTATGGTACGTTTCGATTTTGCCAAATCAAATATACGGTCGATCCACATATAAATCAAGCACTATATGGCCTATGCGGCTAGATTGGAACCAATAGTTTGGGGTCTGTTTGGTGATGATGAAAATGGAAATACATGCATCAATTAGTCGTTCTGTAAATAAAAGAACATGCACAAGTTAGAACGACTTTGTATGAGAAATGACTGGTGAAATAGCGAGACCACATTTTTCATCGTAGGCTACATCATTAACACAAGGACTGCCACATGCATAACCGTGTACTTACTCTACACTGACTTTCCTTCTTTGGGGCAGTGTGCGAAAGCAGTGTCGCTGTGTATTTGGCCGGCAGGCCTAGTGCCCAGACGTCAAATTACAAAGAATATACGCCGGCATACAAGGGAGTGGATGATACACCCGGCTCTTGCGCCATAACCAGTAAGTATATTGTCCAACTTCAGAAACTCGGGGGGGGGGGGGGACGGGTAGGGGGCTGTCAGCTGTGAAAGGTAAGGTGCTTTCTGGCAACTGCCCCACACCAATTGTGTCAATGTGCAGCTGTATAGACAAAAATGTACGCCACCAAGCTACAATCCTGGCCAAATTGGGCTGTGTGTGCTCCATCCGCTCAAGAGAACAACATTGACCGGGGAGCAGGGGAGTTGGTGACTGTTGGAGGCTAAGGTTATTTCCAAGTGTCCCAACCATTTTGGCCGGGATTGTAGCTACAACCTGCACACACCAAGGACAGAAAACGTTACCAAAAAGTGTATCAGCGTTTTCTTTAATATGAATATTATCTGTCTTGGATCATTCATAATTATAGACGTTTTTAAGGTAAGATTGTGATGGGTGGGGCTACACCCACTTATCAGAAGCTACCACCCGACCTCATTTTTTCAAACCAGCCGACCAATTACTTTTTGGTTAGAAAACCTTAAATAAAAAGACAATTTACGAAAACAGAGTACGTGGGAAAAGAGAACAACACAACCAATGTATGAATAAAGAGGTCAATCCAGTTTAGTCAACACTTTACAGAATCCGGGAGATCACGAGTAACGCATCCTCGGTTGTAGGAAACACACAACACAGGAAACGACCGCAGAAAAAAAAACATCAGGCAAGGCATTAATAACTGAAGGAAAATCTTGGTCAAGGATATAAACACAATTAGTCCTGATCCTAGAGGCAAACGTGTGCAGCACTCGGTAAAGTAATAAAAAAAAATGCAAGGGGTTAACCTTACTTTTTGATCAAATTTGGCCAAAAACATACTTTTTCTTCAAACATCGCAGAAATGACTCTTGATGGAAGGGGAGTATCATTCAATATTGAGGCAGCTATAATTGCGAAGATTTGGGCAAAAAGAATCTTTCTTTTTTTAGAAAACATTAATAGTTTTGACTGATTTTGCCCCCAAATATTGACGCATTATTTCTTTTCAAAGGCAATTTTGTCCAGAAATCCAGTTGAAATGCGTTTTAGGGTCCCTTAGGCATCTTTTAAGACAGTTTGGAGTTATTTCATTTTTTGGCCAAAATTTAAAAAAAAAATGCAAGGGATTTTAACTTAATAGTACAGTCCATACGGTCGTGTTTCAGTTACATAAATAACGATTTATAAACAGCCCTGTATTATGGTGTCATGAAACCGTAATAACGGGTTAGGCCATTTTATAATTTTCAGTCCTGAATTGTCCTATTGTTCTGTCTCCTGATCGACCGTAATGACCCAACTTCAATGAGGGAAATATTCGTGAAAACATCCTGCTTCGGGTAATTATCAGGTCAAGTTTTGATTAAATTGAAGCTGACCATGACACTTGTTTGAACCAAGGGTGGAGGTAAGCGCCCTCTACCGGGCGGAGTGAAAGACCGGTCACATGTAGAACCGTGATAGAAGTTCCATTGTGAATGAAAATTGTGCTGTGGACATTTCTTCTTGAAAACAAATTGATATTACTGCCACGCAATCCACACATTTTCTGTTCGTTTAATCTCCCTATTCATCAGAAGCCTCAGTGCATCCTTGGTGGCGTGTGAACATGATGGAAGAGTACTGCGTGGGAACGATCACTGTGGTCAATAGAGCCGATTGCTGCGGTGAGAAACTTCCCCTCGAGCACAGTGTTCGCATGCTCGATTTGAAACTTTTGATTTCGTTCACCGGTCCTAAATTATTTAATCTGTATAAAACTTAAAATGTCTGAAGTTGATAGTGTGTGTCTGCAGTTACGAAAGAATCAGTGTCCTGTTCTATTTTTCAACTTGTTGAGATTGGTTTAATCAATATCAACGAAAGGGAGGATTGCAGTAACACAATGTGAATGATATCGGTTTGTGAGTTGTGTGGTTCTGAGAAAGAACCAGAAAGTTTAACTCGACGTTTCGAACAGTATGCTTTGTTCGTCATCTTGAGACTACTGGACTATTTCTGGAGTATATTTTAGTTGTGGATGCTATATCGTTAGTTTTCTCGACCCATGGTTATTTTATAGTCTGGGATGAACAAAAAACAATAAACTTTCCAGGGTTGTCATCGAGTCCATTACAATTCCTGACAAGTCAGTTACAAGTCACAAGTCCAGTCACAAGCTATTCCAATCAACTGTGCCAAAAGGAATTTTTTGATATTGTTTTAATATCCTCTGTATCTTGTGAATGGATTTGTGCATGACTAGTGATTCACCGTTACGACCGGACTTGTTATGAAAGACTCGACTACAACGTTGAAACTTTTTTAGCTGATAAGGTTTTACAGCAAGTGAGCAGTAACTCTTTTGTGGTGAATCTTGGATTTTAGGAGTATTGAAGAAATGTAACAAGAAGTATTGACAAAACAACCTTTTCGAGCTTGTTTTCATTCCCGATATAGCCGAACGTTTGATCGGTGCGACCGTTCGCGCCGGGCTGAGCCCTTCAGTTACCGAGAACACCGTGTGCGGTTCCCCGGTAACAGCCGAGCAAGCCACTCCGGGCGCCTGGCTGCGATTCACCTGCGACCCGCCGGTACGGGCGCGCTACCTCAGCGTGGACATCGACCTAAGGGGATCGGGAAGGTTGCAGTTTCTGGCAGTATGCGAGGTCAAGGTGGAGGAATCTCAAGCCATGGAGTGCCCAGGATGGGCAGGTAATGTCAAAAACAAAAGGCTATGCTTGATTTCAGAACCTAGAATTTCGCTCGTCGAGATTTTATGTCCATGACTTGGGCCAAAATGTGGGTTCCTGTTCTGTACTGTTTCAGGTCATGAATTTTACAATTCAATAAACGCTACTTAGTCACCAAATCAATGCAATTTCTCAAACCAGCCAATGCCACCGGCTTCCTTGACGCAACTTGCTTGACCCCCACGCCCCTGCTGGATCCCAACGGTGACGGCGGCGCTTTCATCGGTACCTACCTGGGCGCCCGAGACGCCACGGCCTCCGTGTCCTTCGGTCGAATGTCCAACACGGGGCACAATGGAGCACCAAGCCTGCCGGCTTCGGCCCATCAGGTCCCGCATCCCATGGGCTCGACCGACGCCGACTTGCTGTACCTGCCCGCCACTGGGGGTCTCGTGAGGATAGGGGCGTTCTTCTGCCTGGCAACCAAGGACGAGACGAGGACACAAATTACAATGATCATCCTGAACAAGAACGGTCAGTTGAGGTTTCAAGTTTCTTATATGTCATTTCGCTCGTACCCCCCGCCCTGCAAAACAGGAACAGTTTGGTAAATTTTCAATTCCCGTCACTTGCTCAGACTCCGTTTCGAATGCACGAAGGGTCAAAATGCATATTAAGCGACGCTCATATTTGTCCACATGGTCCACAATGAAAAAGAAATCACATCCGGGATGGAATGTGTGTTTTTCTATGAGAAAATTTTCGGATAGCATCAGATTCTGTGAAGTTCATCAGCCCTTCCCAGCGCCCTGTTTGCAGGGCGGGGGGTACGAGCGAAATTTGTCATTGGCTGCGTACTTTATAACAAAAGAGGGCGCTGTGAAACATACAACAGGTTGTCTCCATTGCATTCAGCCTTCGAAGTCTTTCAAATTTTAAAACTGTTCAGTTTTGTTTTCGAACGAATAGTTTTGTCAAAACACTTTTTGAGGCAAGTGGTGTCTGTAAAAAAAATAGTATCGAAATAAAACAACACGAAGGAACAAACTTATTTTTTTTTGGTAGACGTTCACGTCCGTCCGGTAGTTCTGACGAAAACTGTGAGCTTGATGGAGTCGGTTACCTTGGAGATGGAAGCTGTAAACCCGCCAAACAGCGACTGGCGATGGAGACACGATGGCGGGCCTTTCATAGGCCGTTCCCAGGATCGACTAACTCATTTCATTCCATCAGTCTGCCCGAGGGATGCTGGGATATACGAGTGTCACGTCAATACTTTTCGCCCGCTTCAACGCCACGCCATCATGCAACTTATAGTGAGAGGTAGGTGAAGAGTGGTTCCCGTTTCTCCATTACCAAGTAGCGTATCCAGCTTTTGATGTCGGGGGGGGGGGGGGGCAACCGCACCTCCGCGCCGAAATGTAGGCAGGTTATTTTTTCTCCGGACACTTAGCCTCCGTAAAATCAAAAAGCGGGGGGGGGGGCTCTTCAAAACTGACCATTATTATACATACTGATAAATATATGCCCATTTTCACGGCGCATTATAATGGTTATTGAGCGGATTTTCTTTTGTTGGGATTGATGTTAGAACTCTCTTACCATTTATTGAAATAATTGCTGAACAAACTATTTTCCAAAAAAATCCGCCTGGAGGCCAAGGTGCCCCTCCCTGCCCCCCTCTGGATACGCCACTATTGCACTATTTAAATGTGGAAACCATTGGGGGGGGGGGGGGGGGGAAAACCCAGCGATTGATGATTGAGTAATATGATCGATAGAGGGCAGTGTTGTAATACTTGTTTTCGTATCGAGGTGTTTTAACACTCACTGACTCAGTAAACGTCTTCAGGTAGGCCAACGGTATATTTGTATAGTGTATATACAAGTCATTTGGGTTTTTTTGTGGAGAAATTTAAGGTGTGTGCTTTTACTGATATCAATTGCCGTTTTTTTCCTATGAAGCATGCCCATCTGGTAGGTGGGGACCAGACGTTTCGTGTACCAACATCTGCCCGCCATGCTACAATGGCGGCGTCTGCGACGCCCTCTCTGGCCGATGCGTCTGCGCGCCTGGATTCAAGGGTCGATACTGCGAAGAAGGTATTAAAGCGTACACCGTTGGCTTACATCCAAAACATGCTGGGCGTCCTGCCAGCGAATGTGGGAGAAATACCCAGTGTTTGTTCTTAACGTACATCTAAGATCCTTCTTTTGGGAATATGCTGCCTACCTGTGACGTCAACACCTCCCCAGGTCAGGCTCCTCGACAACGGTTCACGCGCACCCATTAATGACCCATATTCTACCTAATTTAACACACACGGTCACAGACAGTAACTTGACATCCTTCTTTTATAGAAAACTCTCAAAAACGAGTACAACCTGAAAGGGGTAAAGTGTTTTGCAGCAGATTGTCACCACACCAGTTACATCTACGCACAGTTGTTCTTATTTTCGCTTCCAATTGGTGATTAAAGCAATGTTATGAAACGTGGGTTCACAACCGCCACAGCAAAACACCGAGATCTCGTGGGCCGCTTCGGTCTGTCTGAACCGTACCGAGTTGATCTCTGAATGACGCCACGACTTTGTAGGCCTATATAGCCCGAACTCACTGGAGGCATATAGTCACATGTAATTGTGGCGGCCAAAATACATGACTCCGTATGTACACATACTGGAATTTGTATCCTTGTGGATTCATCTCTTTGTTCTCGTGTACTAAAGTTTTCGAGTTTGAAAGTGTACTTTCAAAATGCTCCTTTTTTAACCAGAGTTAATTTCCTGGGCTGAAATTCGGAATTAATATCCCCTACATAAAATACTTCAATTTGCGATGGATCAACACACCTTGGAAATTCCTAGTTTTTAATCCATATATCTAGTGGAGACAGGAAACGTATACAATCTTTTGTTCCCTATTGTGCACATGTCTCCACAGGGTACCGTGTACCAGATCATTGTGGTTACACACAAATTGAATTTCACACATATTTTTCCCGTGTCATTTTTGTCAACAGTTCTGGGACTCAACTTTTTTGGCCAAGATGGCAGCCATTACTGCCAAGGTTCGGACGATGGCAACGGTTGCCAGGGAAAACTGTTCTGTCTTCCGGACCCATACGGCTGCTCATGCGCAGCAGGATTCAAAGGATTTGACTGCATGCATGGTAATAAACCTTAGAATTTCTCATAACAATTGATCCTGCAAAATACAAGATCTTAAATTGGAACAAAATTACACTCAAAGAAACACATTTTCGACTTGGGCTTACAAACGTTTTAAATGATGACTTATGGGCTCCGTGCGCCAACAAAAGAGGGCGCCCTTTTACCTAGCAACGACGTCCCATGGGCAGGACACATTTCGCATGTTGACGCGCGCGCACCGTTCCTTGTGTGTGACGCACGTACACCAGGGGATTTGTAGTATGTACACGCATGCAGTGGCCGAGCTTCGCGGCAAAATATTGCAGCCAGGCAAGATGGCGTCGATCGGTCACCCCAACTGTACTTTCTTTGCCGGTGAGGGGGTACTTGTGAACGGAGAGGATAAGGGAGACCATGTAATTTCAGGATCAAGTTAACTCAAACCAAAACATTTTTTGATTGATATCTTCCAGGATCTTTTATGTCTCATTCCAGATGGACCTAGAATACCCGCAAAATCGTCAAAAATTGCTCGCATTTCAAAATCCGATTTATTGGGTTTTCTTAATTTTCAGAGTGCGACGAAGGTACCTACGGCGCAGATTGTAAACAGACGTGCCACTGCGCCCTCAACGTCACATGTGAGAAGGACACCGGAAAGTGCCTGGGAGGTAAATGATCAAACCCTTTCACTGAAGGTCATTGACATATGTACTATATTTAGTAGAGGTCAGAGGTCATGCTGTTTCCATAAACGTGGGCAGGAAACGGTCTCATAGTTTCAGGGATTTGGTTGCTATGCTTGGTGACCAATTTTTAATCGATGCTTGGTCAATTGGGAGTTGGCGGCCCACGGTTGCCGCCCCGGCTATATTCGGTCATGCGTACATCAGGTGTCAAATAATCGTTGCCCAGCGTTAAGTTGGAACTAATCAAGGCAGAAGTGAGGCTCTGACCTGTTCCAGGCTCGACATGCAAAATCCAGAAAATAAAAGGGTGAAACTAAAAATCAAGAACGTGGCAGCCAAGTTGGTTTACTAAAAGATTTCTGCCTTTGACGAGAATGAAATTTAGTTTATCAGCATAGCATAATCAAAATCTATATCAGCCATCCTCCTACTACTCTTCCAAGACCTTTAATATGCGAATTATTGATAATCCATTCTAAATACATACATAGCAGATGCATTCACAGTAAGATGTTGTGATTTCCTCTTAATTCCAGCTTGTGCCCCATCATACTTCGGAGTCAATTGCCAGCAAACAGGTAGGATGCTTTTGTGACCCGTTTTATCAAAAGGAGCATTATTTTTAAAGACTTTCACAACCATAGAATATTCCGAAATTGAGGCTTAAAAAACTACACCGATTTCCAGGTCACCAGGTGGCGTCCTGATAGCAATTTGTTTTTAAAGGATGACGTCATATTCCGTATATATCTTTCCGTGTCAGCAGATTGTGCAAACGGATTCTTCGGCGCGAAGTGTGACCAGACTTGCCATTGCCAGGGAGTCACGTGTCATCGAGACACTGGCGAATGCGAGGGCCGTAAGTTATAAACATTTCATTTTTAATCACGTTTTCAATTTGCTTTTTTGCGTGCTATATATGAAAGCCACGTCATGAGACGTTCTTGGCTCTGCAGTAAGACAACAGACATTTAACTTTCTTTGTTCACAGCATGCCTTACCTCTATTTTTCTACAGCATGTGCTGCACCATACTTCGGAATAAACTGTCAGGAGACTGGTGAGTACCTCTACACATCCGTTAAAAAAACCGTGGACATGACGACACTAGTGACGTCATCATTGTCAAGACAAGTAATAAGAATAGACGCGGATTATGAAAAACAACTTCCCTCCTCAATGATTTGTATGATATTTGCTTTTTGAAGGTTTCGGCGGCGTGCCCAATTTGGTATCTTACCCGAGTGAATCCACCCCAGGGCACGTGATACTCTCATGGGGTAAAGACAGTGCCTCTGTTTACACCATTGGGTACGAGTTGGTTAATCGAGGTCACTGCGAGCCAATCACGTCCCCGGATAGGAAGTTTCTTCCCGACCGCTTCGATAAGGAGACATCCCATGCCATCCTGACCGACCTGGAACCTTCATCGGTGTACAGGGTTTACGTGCAGTCACACTATGGAATCCACAGCATCGTGCCAACGGAATCGTTTGTGGAAGTTTCTACATCTCCTGCAAATGGTTAGCATTGAAAATTAAAAAAAAAAAGTTTCTGTTTTAAACCCAAAGGATTTGTGTGTTCGGTACAGTTAGATGAGTGTTTTGTAAAAGAAGAATCAAGTACCAAAAAAATGTTGTCTTTTTCATTTCACAATATCCTTCTATTACTTGAATTGACAACAATAACACCAAGCTGTCTGGACATTCCAAGTCGTGTTCGTCATTTTCTGGAATAAAACAATCCTCTGAGCTGAGCTAGCTAAGCCGCTAGATCTTAGCCTTCAAATATCGGCAGTGTTATTTCCACCAAACATACCCCAACTCCAACAATTCTTCATTCGAATGTGTATCTCTGTTGGTTTTTTCAGACTCCCGATCGGTCAAAGATTTCAGGGCCTTGGATATCACATCGAACGGCTTTCTGCTCAACTGGAGTCCAGTACAGTGCGCAGACGCGTATTACTTGACCTCCGACCTTCTGCAGATGGGTCACTGTTCCAGGTCGGATACTCAGCAAGAAAGGTCAACTTTCTTGACCCAAAGTACGTCGGTTACCATAAACTGTAGGGAACCTTTTGCAACCTACAGTGTCTCCATTGTGGCTAGCGTTGAGGGCGTCAACGGATCGGCCTCTACCTTGGAAGTCGCAACTACAAAAGCAGGTCCTTGAATTTTATCATTTGAACCATTGTCAGGCTTACAAATTACTGTAGCGGGTCGCCTTCTTAATATGTGGGGAAACACTTTCGCTTAATGCTTGTAGTTTCATCATTAATCCTTTCTGTAGAGCTTGAACTTCACATTAATCCAATTTCCCATACATATGTGAGATTCCCTAGGTTTTTATTTTGGTTTTCTTTTTCGCTTCGTACCTGTCAAACGTTTTCCAGTCCAGTTTTGCCAATCAGATGCATGACTGAACCTAAGATGTTTGTTAACTACCCTTCAAATTCCAATCCTGATCAGTAATTTTGGTGACTGTTTAACCAGTAGTTAATTTTTAAACTGCTGTTAGTCCTTTATACCCACAATGAAACTGATGCTATTTTTTATTAGCCGTGTTTACAAGTTGGGTTTCAAATCTATCCAACAGCACCGGGCACGCCAGATGGCCTGACAGTGGTCTCATCTGCAACAAATAGTCTTCACTTTGCCTGGGATGATCTGCCGTGCGAAGAGCATCATGGCCAGTTTGAAGGCTATCGCTATGCGCTACGCGATGTGTCCACCGGGGATACCGTTGCCTCCGGCATAGAATCGGTGTCAGAAGTGGGATTCACCGACCTTACTCCTTGTAGGCAGTACGAGTTTAGAGTTGCCGCACTGGCTTCCGACTTACAAGGATCCTATTCGAACTGGCTTTCTGCTCAGACGGCTGTACAAGGTAGGTGATCTGCAACTGGTGAACTTAGTTTTGAAGTTTGTTTTAATGAAACTTGTGAGACGATCTTCATGGTTATTGTTTGTTTCCGGAATTCCAGGTCCGGGCTCGGTAAACAATCTGATAGTCAGGGATACATCATCCAGTGCAACAACAGTGTCTTGGCAGCCCCCTCTGCTCAATACCTGTGGTATAAGTGAGTACAGGCTCAGATATGTACTGACCATCCAGGATATGTGTTCCATGACCGCCTTAACAGCATCACCACTGGTACCTGTGTCGACGACTTCAACGTCCACCAGGCTGACTGGCCTGGTCCCAGCCTCTCAATATCAGGCGTTCATCAAAGCCATCAATGCTGCTGACGAGGGGCAGGAGGCGTCGGTTTTGTGGACCACAAATGAGTCAGGTGTGTAAAGTTATAAGGACAAATTAAACTAATATGATAATAAAGGCATGTTAAGATACATCCAACTTATGCTCAGATCCGTCTTGTATTTTCAGTTCCTACAAACCCTCCAGAAGATGTGATGATCCTTGCAATCTCCGCTAACCGCAGCACCGGTTTCTCCTGGAGTCAGCCATCTTGTGGAGGGAGGGGCGGAGTCATCACCAAATACGCCTACCGACTGAGCCACCAGGACGGTGAGTTAGTTATCATCGACTCTGCTGATGAGACGTCGAGGGAATGGGTGGTCTTTGCAGGACTGGAGCAGTTCAGAGAGTACGGTTTCCGGGTTGCTGCTACTACCAGTGCTGGGGTTGGGCCGTACAGTCAGATCATCCGAGCAACGGTCAATCCAGGTACGAGCTTGATATTCAATAGCTTACTTTAATACCCTAGTAAAACGCGGGAAAAAGGCTGCCGTTTAAATTTTGGTTTCCAGACAGGAAACAGTTATACTAGGCCTAATTGTAGCAAAGCTTACATGGGACTACATCAATCTTCGTTGAAACCTTTTTGATACATAAGTGTTTAATAAGGACAAAAAGTGTACATACAGTCAAGGTTTTGGTTCGGCAAAATAAGATTTGACAAGCCTTGGATCGGCAGAACATTTATAAAGCGGACAATGCTTCATGGAAAAAACTGGGTACAAAACCGTTAAGGGAGTCTTGTATCCGAACATATCACACTTTTTGGAATATTCTATAATTTTCCATCAATGCGTTATTGTTCTTGATGACAGGAAAGGATGCTAACCTTTACTCGACAACGGCTCCCGGGATTTCATCAGCAGAAAGGAAGGCAACTGCGAAGTCACCTAGGAAGTCGACTGATGGAGACCCGGTGCGCCCTCTGCCGCCCGCCAAGTCACTCGGCTCAGCTGCTGACATAAGTGGCACAGTTGTAGCAGTGGTAGTGATGGGTCTTCTGCTAATTGCAGTCGTGGTGGTTGCGTACGTTAAGCTGAAACGAGGAGGAGGGAGCTTCACGATGTTCAGACGTCGCGTCGGATGGAGTGGCTTCGCTAATGACGAAGCCGAGGTAAGTTACTGCTCGCGTATCATGCCTATCACGTGTGGTGACGGTCGTCTGGTTCCTTGACTTTGCAAGTACCTAGCATCCATATTAGATTCGTCAGAATTGGCAGTCTTTTGGTCTTGGAACCAGCAAGTGGTGACGCGCGTGAAGCCAATCAGCGCGTACCTGACATGTCTGATCGACACTTTCCAGGGCGCACTTTCCAGGAGAGTTTGATACATTTTGCAGCCATCAGGCAATTAGGGATTGACTGTGATGTGGGGCTACAGAATTACCAAACTGGGTCTGTCGTACGTATAAAGAATTGCCGATATGTTTTTTTTTCCATGAAGCTAAAACAAATGTACCGTGCTCGGATTTTATTTTGTCTTTTATTTTTCTTTTGCAATAGATGATGACTGAGATGGACTCCAAAGGGCAGTAGACAACAATTTGTAACATAATGGTGACAACCCGAAATCTCCTTTATGCATGATAAGGGCAAGCTTAAATTTATAACAAATTGTAATTGATACGCATTAGTTAAAAACAAAACGAAGGAATATCTTTGTATGATAAGGCTCACTTGTAATATGCTTTTTTATATGTTATCATAGAGTAAATATAAACAAAGAACAAGTTTATTTTGGGGGGTGCAATTTTCGATTTTTGTTGGAAAAGAAACTTCAAAGAATATGATATCCTCGAACGAATCAATTAGATTTTTAACATTTAGACGATTTCTTTTAAACAGGGAGCTTTGCATATTGCGCTAATTGTTTCACGTTCGAGATGAATGTAGACTCGGCCCGAGAAGGCTGTTGCACTTGATCTGTGCACGGTGGACGTGCACACTGATTGATGCACTGTGGGCACGACGTTGAAAGCGGGGTTGAAGGTAGAGTTCAGGGGTGGGTTGTGGATATCAAGCGAGTCCGACTTGAGTCCAGTCTAAGCTGAATTAAGAGCGTCCCGCTCCTTATCCATCAGCTCAATTGAAAAAGAAATATATGAAAACAACATGACAGCTTTTAGGTCATGATTTATCGCCACTCACGTTATGCTGGATTTATAGTGCCTAATATGTGCATCTCTACAAAATTGAAATTTGCATAGCGAGGCTCATATTATTTATATTCAACATGATGTATTTGGTGACTTGGCAAATGACGATGAACAGACATCATAACATAGTCCCATAATGTTAACGACTGTTTCATGCTGCGCAATTGCAGGCAATTCAAAGACAAGTAAGACATTTTTTGAAGAGAAATACATTTCTTTTCCATCCAAAATTAACCATGAACAAACGCATATGTTTAAAATGAAGCTAAACGATTTCCCTAGAATAGCAAAAAGGAATTACTAGAATGTCTAACTGCCGGATATAATAGTTACACTCTTGATATTATGGTCTACGAAACTGAAATAAATAATGACAAGCTATTATTATCGTTATATTATAACTTTGAAGACAAACCAATGAATCAAGTGTTTGGTGTTTTGTAGTAATTTCTGTAGTTACAATAATTATTTAGACAGTGGTATATGTACAATAAAACCATTATGATAGCATTATTCCTTGCCTTTTTTGCGTTCAAAAGCACTTATACTTCACATAATATATATAAACATGCATAAATATCTCATACGCGTGGGTTGCTTATTGCTAGATGTGATCGGATAGTAAACGATATAGTAATATTTGCCAATTTAATCTCTGATCCGAAGAAAAACAAAATGGCCATAATACTCGTTTTTGTACCTGCAAATCTTTGTCATTAACGGATAATGTTTATACTGAAAGAAAACGCGCATACTTTGAATTATGATTAAAAGACGGTGAATGACTTATGATACAAGTAAATAAGTTATAGTAAATTGAATATTCCTAAAGTTTAGTTTTTACTTGCACATCTACTTATACAAATAAGTCCAGCCTTGTGCTGGATTAGCCTTTAAAGGTGAGCATGAACCGGACGCGTGGCGCCCTCGAAAAAAAATTGTCGAAGGGGGGGGGGGGGGCAGCACATTACACTAGGGGCGCTCTTCAGGATATAGAGGTAAATCAATATGTATACTCGCGCTTACATCAAAACGGCGCACTTTAAAAGCTTTTTTACTTTGTTTCTCCCCTTTTCAGTGCCATTGAATACATTTTTTGCTGTTGGGATGTTCGAAAAATACCTCAAAATCCGCATTTTTTTTCTCATCACGAAAAAGTGGGGGATAATGCAATAGCCCATCCCCTGGTCAAAAAGTGGGGGGATATATATATACTCCCACCCCCTCCGGGTTTACGCCCCTGGCCATGCATGTACATTAAAGCATTTCAAAGAAAGGCTTTTCGTCGAGCTGTGTAGATCTGTTTGCGCTTAAAATGCCGCACCCAACCACTTGGATGTCTGTCGGATAACTAACCGTATATATACGCCAATGCGGTGCTACGGATGAGATCGGCCTTCGATGCAGTATACAGACGTGACAGATGGCGCTATATGGCTTTGTAATGCATGTGGGACTTTATCCTTGCTAATATCATGCATTCAAGAAATCGAACGTGGAAAGTTCCTGGCCAATTGACTAGGTATCTGAGTCATATACAAGAACTAGGGATTCGGTAGGCGGATCGTTTGATAAACTTCGACCTTTTCTTCGGTGGCATGGCACGGCTGGTGATGCTTTGTGTTCTTGTCATAACTATGATTACATATCGCTGTGGCTATCCTAAATGTATCTCTACGAGAAACACGGCTGCTCGCCGTTTACTTCGACGTCATCATCGACATTACCATGTAACACACCAGCAGAGGCACAACTATGGGGTAAAGCACCAAGAACAACACCAGGCAAATGATGACCGCTGGTCGCCGCCCAGCGCTGAGAAAGGCGGATGCGTCAACTCCTCCTAGGAACGTATTGCCAAGCAGGGCTGAACTCTGGATCCTGCGGGATAGGACCTCCACGCTGAGCCCCGAGCCGGACGCCGACACTAGCCGCTCCTCCACTGACTTCTCGATCTCTCGCCCGTTGCCGCTGAAAGACAACAGCTCGTAGCAGAAGGTCTTGGCGAACTCCACGCAGTCGTCCAGGAGGACCTTGTAGCGCTTTGGGGAGGCCCTCAGTATTGCAAACTGCAGCCCACTCACCGGCACCTGCTTGTACTTGCCGATGTAGAAGGACCTCTTGATCTTGGGTTTGAGCTCCCCAAACATGGACAACTTGAAGCGAATCTTGTACATCCTCTGCTCCTCTGACTCGAAGCAGAGCTCCGTCTCCCAGACGAGAAGCTGGTTGGGAATGGCGAACGGGTCGTCCGTGGGCATGTCTTGGAAGACGTTCATCGGGTCATTTTTTGGAGTCACTTCGTTCGCTGGGACGCACAGTACGAAGGCGTGCCAGCCACTGTTGACGCAGATGAAGACATCGTAGTCACTCGGGTCGCCCTGTGCAAGTAGCCTCTTGATTTCATCGCCGTTGTTTTGGCGGTGGGCCCGGACTACTTCTGGTTTGATATCCTCCAAGTTGTTAACGTGGTACGCCAGTGGATCGTAAGACCGAAGGCTCCCCTCAACCATCTCGATATGAGACTATACTCGTTGTACGTACAGCTCTTCAATCCACTGCAAATTAATAAAGTAAAAAGCAAACAGTGGATAAACTAAATAGCACACAATTTGATTTTTGTTTAATGCCAGGTACATTAACGTATTGACGAGGATCTCAGACTATTTTTTTATGCTTCATGAAATTTCACAATAAAATCAAAGCCAATATCAGTCCCAGTACCGGTGTGAAACGTGTAATCAGCAGATGCAGTTTTATTGTTGGACCAGATTGTAACCCGCAAGAAGTACGTAGACCTACATCTGTCCCGAGACGATGTATTTCGTGAATTGAATGACTGCCGCCAGACTTATCTCAGATAACGAGAATACGCTTTGCTTATGGGACAAATCGTTATTTTGGTCCTGGGAAAACTTTGTCTCGTGTGCAGATTTAGAACTTTTGGCTTTATTTTGTCATAATTACAAGCTGTCATGCAAAACAAAAACAAAAAAAACAATTGCACACTCCATTCTCAAATGAGTCACCACTATAATGATTGCACACAAAGGGTGATTTCCTCGCATTTATTTTATTTCAAAGGAAAATGTTGTTTCGGTTTCATGTTTGTTTTCCGACGGAACCTTGCTCTGGACCGGCACCGGGACTATTGGATAATGTAATCCGGATAATGAGTTTTTTGGAAGGAACAACTTGGGAAATTACGGTATCAGAGGTTGCATTTTGATTAAAGATAAGCAATACAATGACATACATTATAAGCAACACGACTAGATAAACACTCAGATAAATAAAGTAATTCCATTAAAGATATACTACAAAGGAGACATTAGCACTAAATGTTATCATGGATATTGACTTTTGATAATTTAAAATAACTATATTCCATTTGGGACAAATCACATAGAATTTGGAAACATGCCAGGACATTGTCGAAATGAAACTGAAATAAAACTATATATAGGCCTAACTAAAAGCTATATAAAGCATCCTCTGCTTTCAGAATTATTTAAGAATTGCACTCAAGATGAATTGAATGTGTACAGCTATATTCAAGGCCAAGTCAAAAGAGAATTAGTTTCTCTTTCCCCGTTCGCTTCCTTTTTCCTGCCGGCTTTTTTTTTTAAGATATTATTTTGACAATGATATATACTGTCAATATTTTCATTTCATTTGTTTCCAACAAAATTGTAGCTTTGTAGAAAGGGTTACGGCTCCTTATGAATGACACAATGTTCTGTGTAAGTATAAAAAGTACAGATAATGGAAGAATCCATATTCGCCATTTTGGAAAATCCACCATCTTGTAAAAAAGCGCCCGTCTCCTTCATTTTTTTCTCAAAATGCCCAGACGAGAAACATTTTGTTTTACTTGCCCTAATGGTATTCCATTTTTGTCAATATATAACTCGTTTGCGCAGAGTCATATTCGAGGATTGCCGAATTTTATTTCAGCAAAGAGAAATGAACACAGCCATGGCTAACACTACACAAAGTATAATCTTAGGCCTACAATTTAATTTATCTAAGCAGAAAATAACCAGTTCGAAGATTGCTCGAGAATTACCCAAATCGACATCAGATTAAAATGTTGAAATTATGTTAAGAATGTAAAACAAAAAATATCCACCGTGGGAAGTACGCATTAAAGCTGCTCTCTCACAGATATATTTGAATTTCACCCAAAGTAGAGATTCTGTTTTTAAATTATATTTTCCGAGTAATACAGAAAGTCAATCACTATTAAATGAGACATCAAGTCAACCCCCCTCCCTGTACACACACACTGTGAACATTCCTTTGTATTCCTGAAGTTAAGGAAAGCCGGAGAAAAAAACTCATTTTACTCACACTGTGAACACTCTTTCGACCCAATTTTTTTATCGCGATTTCCTTGAGCGTCCCTCTTCATTTTGCGACAATAAACCTAACCCCAAAATGCCTCTAATTCCTGTTTTCCAGAGAGGGAGAAACCTAGTGTGGACGTGTGCAAGTCCACACAGCGTTCACGCTTCCTGCATCTTATGGACCTCTTTTGTTCACAGGTCCACGAAGATGTAAGGTTATAGAGCGCCCGTTCTTGTTCCGTAGTCGTAGGGACATACACTCGTCTGAACGAGGTATATGTGGGGACCGAAAACGATGTGGGGACACTGCAGAAAGTCCCCATAACTCGGTCCTAATTGGCCTAACAATAAAAAATGTCCCCCTAACGTGTAGGCCTACCCTTTGCGTCTTAAACACACATACATTTATGGGGAAGACCTTTGTTTCCCTTCTTTTGTTTTCATATAGTTCCTATTGAAAAGCGGCGCGTTTCCCTTTTGAGGTAGATTGATTTGGGTCTATTGTTCCATTGTGTTTTCTACCCAATAAGGAACCCCGTACATGTACACACACACACACACACACACGTCCGTTTAGTTATGGAATACTTTCCCGTCGACAAATTTGGAATTATTTATTTTAGGAGCGCACAAGCAAGCCAAAATAATCGCATATTTTCAAAGCTCTAGTTGAAAACATCCAAAATAGAAATAAAAGTAATGTTTTAAAAAAACATTGAAATAGAACAAACATTTTTGGTAGTTTAGTTTCTACAGTGCAGTGAAGGGCCGTGCATGCATGTCGCTTCAGGGCTCCCGCTCACATCATGAACAGCATTTTTATTGACAATAATGAGCTATGGGGCAAAGCTCATTATTTACCACCTGCTCGAACCTTTTGTATGGTACGTGACATGAATACGGGGAATGACAAGGGTTACAGTTCATTGGAAATTCCCCGCCAACTCAGCAGTCTTGTTGATTTTAGCCATTTTAAGAGATGTTGCTATCGGTATGGGACAACTATAATATTAAGGCTTCGTAATTCCAGTGTAGGCCATAGATGTAGATTTAATTTATTGATAGTTTTCTAGTCCGGATATGGTCATTATTAAAGTCTGTGAATTAAATCCTTATGAATAAATAAATCCATCGAAAAAAAAAACGGGATCATACAGTGATCTGAATATATCGGGCCTACAGGCCCCCCCCCCCAAAAAAAGTATGGAACAGAAGCCCATTCTCTGAAAGAAACATTGACGTTTTTTTTTTACTAGAAAACAGTCAAACGCAGGCACACAGCTGACCCTATAGCTGTAGTCAGCTGGGTGTAAGTTTGACTGGTTTCTCATGATACGTTAAATAGGTGTTTTTAATACATTCGTTTATCTGTATCGCCACTGTGTAATATAAAATGAACCACTAGTCACAGTAATATCACTGTCACGACTCACGGCAGTCATTCTTTGAGAGATGGGAGCAATATTTTTAATTAACAACAGCCACACACTCATTTACTACCGTATATTAAAAAAAAATATATCCACCCCCCCCCCCCTCCGCCCCATCCAGACGACCACTATTACACCATTGTTCGTATGCCCACATGTTGTACAGCAAAGACATGGCATAATGATATTTATTGAGTTGTGCTGCCAACATGGCGAACGGGAACGCATCATTCTCATCCTATCCATTGGATGACTTCCGGTTAAGGCCATGACTTCCGGCAAAATGGGGTGGCTAATATAGAACATATACGGACACAAAAAAGCCAACATACCTGACGTCGGAAGCGTGGAAAAGAACAGCCGTAAAATCACTTTGATCTGCAAGTTCAAGGCCAGTATGGGTGTTGCCGTCGTCCTCGTTCCAATTCGGTGGTGCTGAAGATGTGGGACGTGGTGTCGTGGCGTGCGTGCTGTTTGCCCATTGTGCGAGGTTGAACGGACGCAAAAAAAACTACGTCATTGATCTGATACAGGGGATTCCCCTGCGTATTTAGCACGCACGATACATGAGTTCCGTTTGTTACTGCCGATTTTTAGACCGAACGATTAGCGGTTATATTAATTCTTTTTATGCTAATTTTTGGTGGATCATTAGTTGCATATCCCGTGCTCTTCAAAACTGGAATTAATTTTCCTCGTAACCAATTTTCAATGCGTATGCTCTGCTTAAACGGGAAAACCAGGCACTCTTTTCTGCATATTTTGGGCATATGTAATGGGCTCAAAATGAGTGTAACTGATAATCAAACGGTCCGCCAAAATGATCCCTTTAACTCCATTTCCAATTTCCTCCACAAATATATGAATGGTTACTTATGTTGATTGTCAAAAATTGGTATATTGAAAAGTTTTGGACATTTTGCTCGTCACAAAACTGCGTGTAAATGCGCAGTACATGTGCGCATACCTGAAGCCCTGAAAGTGTGGGGTACGGGCCCGCTTAAGGGCCCCTGGAAGTTTTTGGATCCTAGGTAGGCCTACTCTGTGGTGCAATCTGAGGCATTTCCTGGCCACTTTCCCCTGAATTGTTGAATGAATATGCTCGTGTTGATATATTACGTCACAAACATCACATCGAAACTGTAGCTTGACTATCTTTCGAGATTTGGCCTCTTTAGCTAAGGGTGATCCCCAATTTTCGTCACCGAGAATCAGCTCAATTCGTATTTTGCCTCCGAGCGAGCACGTGCTTGCGTTAGGCTGTAGCTGTCTACCACACCGTCGTATATGAAGCGACCTCACGCGGCACCTCGTGCCGACGTGACAGAATGTACAATCTGTTGCCATGGGTTACAGAACCGGATTTTAGCTTCGCGGGGTTTTGAGCAGCGGTGTTTATTATTTACATTCTCCATTTTTTTCTTCTTCTTCCTTTTTCCTTTCCCCTTCCTTCTCCATTCTTTATTTTCTATTTGGCCGACAGCAGCATGATGTTGCCGACAAAATTTACTAATGGGGAGGGGGGAGTGACACTGCCCCCCCCCCCCCCACCTCTGTAGTGACGCCCGTGTGATATCTTGTAAAAGATATTAAAATGTTTGGGTTGCCCAGCGGTAGCCTGTCGCCGTGGCGTCACAGGGCACATGGTCTATAGAGTTTGCACTATGTATCGTTTTTAAAATGCAGAACTTAGCATGCACACACGTACGTTTGTTTATGGTGTAAATCGAGGATTTTCTATTGTTTTTCTGCATGCCCTTTTTCCGTTATTTATACCTTAACTGTTTTGCAACAGCTCTCATTGGTTTTGTTCACGTTTTATACAACCGGGGAGTCCTCGATTTGGCTCCTGTCCTCGATTCATTGATAAAGTTGCACGTGTGTGTCCTCGATTTTGCAACATAAGCACGCGCAAAACACACCGGTGGGGAGGAGTGCGCGTGACCAACACTGCAATGGTCGCAAGGTGCTTTCTGCATTTTGACGGTGAGCTGAGTTTGTTGTAGGAAACGAACCCGGAAACGTAAACCAAGCTGAACATACAAGCAACTTTGCATGCAGAGTTCAGTAAGGTCAAAGCGAAACCGCTGAAAGTTGCGACACTTTCCTGTGGCGTTGGCCTTCGGTCGTCGGGTATTTCCTCCTCCATCGATGCAACGGTGTACAGTTTCAGACACACATACCAGAATCAGTTTGTTCAAAGTTATGGATGCCCGTTGAGCCTTGCCATTGTGTGTGGCACATTTTAGGATTTATTAACTTTCGGTGTAAAATAAGCCATGGAGACGAGTCGAGCTTGCAGTTGCTATCTCGGTGTAAGGATACTCTTGCTGCTATTCTTCATCCCAAACCAAGGTGAGGTTTGATTTCTATTATGGCCGACACTACAGTACAAGTAAGCCTACACGTACTTACGTGCAGGGACCATCATACTTCCTTGTTGATCTAACACACACCGCAGTATTTATACCACGCCAAGAATTTCATAGACATTTTTTTGAGTAATCAGTGTTGCAACAACTTGCATGCTGTAAGGCTGCAGCATTAACTTCATTTTTTTAAATGGATAAACTACATGTACACATGTTCATGTTTTACTGTGGTATCGTAAACGATAATATTCTAGAAATGTTCCCTTAATTAAAACACAAAAACATATAGAATCACTTTGCATACATTGTGGCCGTTTCCAAAGAAGAATGTTCAATACCTAAAATTTTCAAGTTTAAACTTAAACTTCAGTGGATAGGCCTATGACACTTTTCGAGAAAACAGTGAAAACCATGCACAACCTTTTGATCACGAAACATGATTTCGTCGACAGAACTCCGAATTTCGTTGGAAATAATAAAATCATCTTCATTTCTAGATTTCTGCTTAATCAGTGCGATCCGACAAAAAAACTTTTAAATAATAATTCTCTTTTACTTTTTGATTTTTTTTTTGTTAGCGGCCTTAAAATGTTTGACAATTCAGTTATGTTATAGTTGTAAAGACTTTAAACTTTGATGAAACTCTAAACTTTGATGGATTCGTCAAGAAGTTGATCGATATTGAGATTGTTGTGTTATAGCAAATCCCGTGTACACTGCGTGGCATAGCCGACGGGGATGGGGCGTGGGGCCGTGGGCGTACCCTATAGAAAGATTGTGTCCACCCCCCCCCCCCCTTAGATTTTACGGAGGCCGGTTGGCTGGTGAAAAAAAAACCTGTCTACCTTGGAGCACGAATGCTACAGAAATTGGGAGCCCCCACTTTAACATCCACCCCCCGCCCCCCCCCGCCTTGGCCCCGTGTGAGAACGCTGTTACATGTTATGGCTATGCCGCTGCCTGTACGGCTTTGAACCAAAAAAACAAAAAAACTCAATGAGTACTTATTGTTTCAATGCAGGCGTGGCCCTAATTGACCTGCGGGACAAATACGTCAGTCAGAGCAGCAACGTCTCAACTGATAGTTACGCAACCTGGGCAGTTGATGGTGACATCGACACGATTTCACATACGTGTAAGTTTTTTTTTTATTTTGAATTTTTGTTTCGATTTCGTAGCAAACCAGCATTATGATATGCTATCATTAGTATGGTTCATCCCATATCGATCGCAGTTTTGTGTGACATCATGGAATTTCCTAGCACATTTTTCTTCATGCATAGGCCCACAATGACGTCACGCGTTGTCTACATGTACTCTTTCTTTTGGAAGCAGTGTCCCCACTATAGGCTCCCATAGGGCAGTGCACGTGTAAACAAAGTGTGACGTCATTATGTTTAAAGGCCATACCGAAGCACTCCCCCAGCAGGACGACTTTATTCCCGACTTTTTATGCTAAACGGCACTGTCCAAAAGAAGATCGAGTCAACTATTATGTTTTAAAGTATCAATGCTCTTTTTTTTTAGTGTGCAATGGAGACCAATGGTGGCGGGTTGATCTGGGGACTACCTATCGCTTGCAGCGGATCACCATAGTTAATAGAAACGATAGACATGGTAAGGTTTTAGGTATTCAAATCATGGATTTAAACATGCCGGCCCACTGGCGTGCTATTTTCTAATTGCAGCCGAAAATAGCAATAAGACTTTTTTTTAATTGCTTTTTTGTTTCGCCAGCAATTCAAAATTTATCCTGAGGAAGTGGCAGATGCTAAACTTTAATGACTTTAAAAAAAAAAGTATGCCGAAGTTCACTGCAGAGCTATTCACATCCATCCAATGTTAATATACAGACTAGCGGTATGGGTAGCCTAAATTATGTGACTTGGTGCGTTCAATTAAGATTTTATACCTATTTATCACCGTAGGTAGCCGATTACAAGGCGCTATTGTGCGAGCTGGATTGGATGCAGATCACTCACAGAACGCACGAGTCGGATCACCAGTCACCTATGGTCAAGCCTACCCTGGCGGACAGACTCTCAATTTCGTACCGGACCCTGTAGTCTCTGCTCGGTACGTGAGCGTGGACTTATACAATAACTGCTTGCAACTGGCGGAACTTAGGCTGGAAGAAGAGGTCATTATTTCATCAGGTGAGTACGCGTGCGCCAACTTTTGAAAGTCAATCAGGCTAGCCACATCCGAATCTCTATTAAATTGTGTCGGTACTCGTCCATTGCAACTATGCTACGCAGAGGGAAATGCTGGCAAAAGACGTAGCCGCATAGCTTTGGAGGCCGAGGCTAGGCCCGTCTCGGACGAGGCTTCATCGTATTACACAATTTTTGAGCTAACATGGCTGGCTTTTCCCTTCTAGTCCTTTGGGAAGAAATATCCATTTTTCACTCTTCTATACTATTGTCATTTTCCAACCACCATGTTCGGTACGTTTTGTACGCAAAAATCGGGAACCCGAGCACAATGTTCGGTATAGCCGAGTGTTCGGTATAGCGGTGTTCGGCAAATAGCGACGTTATAGACCCAGCAGGCAGTAGTAGCAACGCCCCCAAGGACTGTCATTGGTTTAAATTTGTGTGACGTCCGTGGCCCAATCTTTCGTTTCTTAACATTGAGCGCAATGTTGTATGGGCTGCCACGCCACATAGGATACATATAGTACTTTAACCCGTGGTTGATAACAGATTTTGCTAATACATCATAATTTAACACCCCTTTTAAAGAAAGATCGACAATCCTTGGAAGGTTTTATTGTGTGTTTTTTTGTATTTTCAACAATACAATGATAATACGTTTGGAAACAAAGAACTATTCTTTATGTTTGCGACATTGAACTTCCAGTTTAGTTTGCCTACCCGTAGTTGGCAAAATGTACAAAGGTCTTAATAAAGTACCACATCAGGGTTCGACCTTAACTTTTTTTTATTTACTGACCAGCCGGGCCATTGAAACAGACTCTTAACTAGCCTGCGGGCATTTTTCACTAGCCCGCATGTTTTTCTTTTATAAGAGTGTCTCATTTAACAATGTGCATACGTATATCCTGGGGCAATCTTAAACAAAATAATAAAATTATAGACAAAAATTGATACAGGTTTGCATAACTTTAATGATTGATTTCTTCCTGCCCTTTCATCTTTGCCGTAGCCATATTTTTTGACTCGCCAGCCGGGCTACTTACGGAATAGTTTGACTAGCCCGCCGCTGTTTTGACCAGCATTAGTTTGGCTAGCGGGCTACCGCTAAAGTCGAACCCTGGGATTATGCGTTCTGTGCTGAACTATTATAATTGAGTCTGCTGCCCCCAAGCCACCAAATATACCCCCATGGCTTGGGGGCAGCAGACTCAACCCCCGCCTTTGCTCGTAACCCCGCCCTGCAAACAGGACGCTGGGATACTCTGATGAGCTTCACAGAATCTTGTGAAGGAAGTGGCCTGTGACCTATGTATAAAGCGCCCAGCTGCAGCTGTTTAAGACCGCAGTTAGACAATGTGCGCAAATGCTATCTGAAAACTTCCCATAGAAATGCACACGTTCCATACCGGATGTGATTTCTGCAGTTCATTGTGGACCATTATGGACAAACTTGCAATCCGACCGTTCGTGATTCGAAACGGAGCCTGAGCAAGAAACGGGAATTGTAAATTTACAGCACAGATAAGTTTTACAGAGTTTCCTACATTATGACGCTTTTTCAGTGGAAAAATAATAATAAAAAAATCTCTAAACTGGAACAAAAGAGTAATGAATCAGCCTTAACGGCCGTTTCAAACCTTGCAGAGTCATGACCTTGATGACGCGCAGGTCACAGCACGCAGAATCCAACCAATCAGAGTGTGAATTTATCAGAGTATCCCAGCGTAATGACATATTGTTAAAGACCGCGGTTAGCTTTTATGCGAGCAAAATGATATCCGAAAACCTACTCATTTCTTTTTCATTGCGGACAATAGAAATGTCTGTACTGAGAAGGTAATCTCAATCAAAATCGGTAGCAAAATCGCTACATCACTTTCAGTGTTTAGGGGAGCATCGCCTGCACTGTCTGGTCGTTATACAGAGCTTGTGATACGGCCTGCATTCGGATCGATTTCATAATGAAGAAAATAATGTCATCATGACAAAAACCGCCAAAGTGAACTTACAAGCTGTCAATACATCACACGATAACACATTTTATTGTTAGAACTTTTATTGTTCCTCTTTGATTATGACGACGTACGCCTAACCAAAAGATGACGCACGCATATGAAATCCAGCAAATTTTTTATGAATGGGTTTTTTGCAACCACTATTTACATGATAAAAGGACTTTTTGTTTCTTCGATGACGCAATGGATCGTCCATTAAAAGCTGGCGATGGGGATTGAATTCTTCATGACATGACAAATAGTAGGAAATGCGATAGTGTAAGATATCTTAACACTTCAAATCACAGCCCATTTCAAAATTTAAAGAATCAAATCTGAATGAAATTGCACACTTAGCGCTATTATTGACAAGGAGCCCGCATTTTTCACCAGAACAAGTGGTAAATACTTAGTTGACCCCTTAATAAGAATGGAACAGCCTACAGGCATTTCCTGCACGGCAAGGTAAACTCACCCCAACTACACGTACACGTACACACAAAATAAACCACCACATGGGCATGCGGAAGTATCAACAATCGCGATCGAAACATGGCGTTTTACAGAGACACGCTGTTCCTTGAAGCATCTTTTCTACTTTTACTTTCGATATCACATTTCTCTTTTGGTAAGTTTAATTTCGAAAACTTATTGAAAACTGATTCGAAAGATAAACATAAATCCAACCGGGCAAATAATTTTGCAACCTGACGCTACTTGGAAAGATTCCCATATTCAGTCATGATCTGGCCATCACTTTTCACCCTGTGCACAAACCCTATGGGACTGGTCTGAAAATTTTTAAGTGTTTTCTCAGTAAAAATTCAAAATTTGTCATTGGTAATTTTGACTTTTTAGGACATATTATCACTTTCTGATGGCTGATAGGTCATTTAAGGGAAAAATAAGTGATGGCCAGATATGGGAATCTTTCCGGCATTTGTCCGGGTCCTAGCCCCACTAGTGTGGCCGTCGGTATGCTGCGCTGAACCAGAGGTTCAGCGCAGCATACCGACGGCCACACTAGTGGGGCTATCCGGGTCCAAGCTAATCCTTATAATATGCCGAGCAACACAATTTTGCCCTTGACCCAAAAATCCAACATTGCCCAACAAAAACATCAGATTTCACCCTTACTAGATATGCCACCTGAGGTACAAGTAGACATCGATGATTAAGATAGTTGTACTGAAGTTTACTTACGATCCGGATGAAAAGTGAAATTTCCCGTTCAATTCCGAGAGCTCCCCTCGCGATCGTGAACACGCTAAATTTCCGACTCGTGTTAATGTTCGAACGATGCGATATGGTCCTCATGCCCAGCGTTCATTCAATGGTCCCCGTATCCCGAGTGCGATTCAGTTACCGAGCGCACCCGATGCATCGATTATGGTAATGAGTTCAAGCTAGTTCCCGACTCTCCTTTATCGTTCGAAATGCACTGTATGTCACATGTCATGCATGTGTCATGTATACACAAAAATGTGGCGATCATGTATGGGCACGGTTTCTATAAGGGAACAAAATTCACTTTTAAATCGTTGACCTACCAATTACAGTTGGCAGTATTCAGAATATGCAGGTACATGTATGTCAAAGGGCAGGTCTTTAAATTTTTGAGGGAAATTTTGAGGTAAAATGACGATGACAATGACAAAACGCAACACGAAAATAAAGATGGCGATCACTGCGCGATGTACCGTGAACGTGCAAGGCGCACTGAATCGCACAGCACCAACCGTAAACCACGCATGAAAAATCTTAATTTCTACCCCAAGAAACTGTTAAAAAATTACAAAAAAGGTATCGTTATTATATTGAAAAAAGTCTGCTCTAGGTTGAATAGGTCATTTTTGAGTTGTAAAAAACACCCTTGACTCGAATTTTATCAAAAGTAAACAGCGGCCCTACACTACACGATCGCCAAAATGTTTTTGAATTTGAACTTCAGAGTTTCTGAATAGGCCTATGTATTACACAGTGGAAGTTAGAAGGAAAGATTCCTATAAAATATCTGGCCGTCACTTTTCACCCTGTGCACAAACCGTATGAGACTGCTGACTGGTCCGGAAATGTTTACTCAGTAGCTCTACTGATTGGAACGTTGGAACTAACGTTACGGTGTAGCACGAAGGGTAACGTACATAGTTCCAACGCTCCATTCAGTAAATACCTCAACATTTTCCCTGCTAAATTAAAAACAAATTAATAAATAAAACATTTATAATAAGTACAGGTAACATTTCCAATTCTTTAGAATATTTTTATGTAAATAATTTCCAACTAACCATAACATTGAGTACAGCTGAAAAAGTGGCATTTTTGTTTTACATGTTTGAGTTAAAATGTAATCTTTACAACAATGTTTCACTCCAAAATAGGAGCAAAACTTTGCAGTTTTGTGACTTCCATTTGTACAAGTACATGAGTAAATTAAAATATATATGACCATTCTTACAGAGGAATTGTTGAAATGCGAGGCATTTTTTTCTGAATATAACTTTCACAATCCAGATTTAGACAAACAATAGGGCCTATTATGTTAAATTTCTGAGGCTTGTCAATTTATTCTGTCAAATAAATGGATGCAGGTTTTTCGTCAACTTCTATTAGCCTATCAATTATTTATAATGAGTGTTTGCTTTCTGAGCGTATAGCCTAAAAGCCCCCTTAAATTAGACTAAATGACAAAGCCTGCCATATTTCTATACATGATTAGCCTACACGTACACTGTATGCTTGCTAATGGCTTCTGTGCCTGTCCCTCATCATATTCATGCATGCATGTGTTACAACATCCTAAAGTAAAAGTCAGTGAAAACAATGGCATACTAACATTTCAATTCCAATAGATTGAATACTTCATGACAAAGATTCTGCTAGGCTGGATCATCTGATTAGTTCGCCTGATTCTGTTGGATTTGTCGAGTCAAAACGGAACAAGCAGTTCACAGCAGTTACATGTACATGTAAAATTCAATTTCATAAAAGTTAGTTAAAGGG